GCCGCTTCTTGCTGGCCTGCCATCAATCTTACTCTTTCCTACTCTCCATCTGTCATATTATAATATCCACCATTCAGAAAACAGACATTAAATATTTCTTTCCCATTATCCTCTAAACTAATAACAGACCTTTGAACATGAAGTAATAAATAGTTTTCCGCCAATTGTAGGCGACGGAAAAATTAGCTGTTGTAACAGCGATGAATCCCAAGTCTCCACTGTCTAACACTTCTACACAATTTATAATATTGTCAATTATATTTCGGAAAAAGGTACATTAAATCAGATTGTGTTCGGAAGCAAGATAAAAAATTATTCGCACTTGCAAACTGATAAATTACTAATATTAACTACTTACTAACAAGTCCATTTATTTCGAAAAAATTTCATTAAACCCATACATTGTAAGATTTATCAATTATAATATATATATATATATATATATATATATATATATAATTACTTAATGGATATCATTTCATAAATTAAAACATTAATTATACAATAGGATGTTGCGTAAATGAAAAATATGTAGATTTATTTAAAAATAATTATCATTTCTATGAAAACTTATATTAAACCATTTGTTTTTCTATTACTTGATTAATATTATTTAAAAAAGACAATTAATTATTAATCTTCATTAAGCGATTATTATAATTATTTTTGTCATTCTTTCCAACTTTTAAGTGAACTCTTTTTTATCATAACATAATCAAAATACAATACAATTCAAATTTTTATAATGACTTTCGAAAACAATTTCTATATATTATTTCCTTAAAAAATATTATTGAAAAAGAGTTGATATACTAATTACGTAAAAAAAAATATTAGATAAAATTTTATCAGTATCTTATTAAAAATATAATTTTTCTTACAGCGAATGAAACAAAAAATTGATTAAGGTGAATACAGTGTATAAATTATTTTTGTTGATAAATTATAATATTGTTCAATATACGTGAAGTAAATGACAGTTACTTTTCACGAATAGTATAATTATCCAAGAATCCATTACGAAAAAATCATTACGAAAATAATATTACAAATATTATTATTAAACGAACTATGATTATGTTATAAAATATACATATGAAAAAATAGAAATTAAAAAGTATAAGTTAAAAAAAAATAGATTAAATTGTTTATAAATATATATGATTATAGGAAAGAATTATATAGATATTTAAAATATTGTATTTGTATTTATATAAAATTATTACTAATAATTTATGAAATGATGTTGTGATTTAGAAAACAAGAAAAGTATTTTTAGTTTAACATTCTAGTTTAAAGCTTGAAAATTAATACACATAAAATTTTGCAGAATTTAGAAAAAAAAATATGAGTTTCATAATTATGATATAATGATTGTAACAATCTGTAAAGTAAATATGTGAAATAATAATTAAATTTTGTAAAAACAATTAAAAAAAAAAAAAAAATACAAAAAATTAATTATTATCCGATCATACAAGTAAAAAGAAGGAAAACTAATTTAAGCGAAATATTGAATAGTCATAAGCACTGTATACCGAAACAAGTTACTCTAATCAAATTTTGAAATCTACAAAATCTTAAATTAACTAAATAATTGAATAAATTAAATAATATAATATACCAGTAATCTTTCTCTTAAACAATACATAGTAATTATCAAGCATATTTTTAATAATATGAACTTAATGATTCAGCCTAAAATGTGAACAAAATTTAAATAAAACAATTTATTTTTACAACGTAACAAATTCAAAAAAATAACGAAATAACTTTATCTTTTAATATCTTGATTTTTCACCGTTAACATTTTTTTAATGAATCGTGTAAGCCTAATAATGCGTACAATCTATGTAATATGTCAGTAGTAAGAGTTTATCTTCGATAAGACGGAGAAATAATTATCTGAGTAAAAAATTTTTTCATTTTTTCGGCATTTCATTATTATTAAGCTTCTTCGCTAATATTCTAAAAATAAGAATTTATTATTAGACTTATTTATAAAATGTATGACAACATAGAGTATGCAGAGTATAAATATAATGTAATAATTAAATTTCAATTGTTATTTGCGATAGCTTTAAATGTGTTATTTAGAATTAAAATTTATGTCCATAATGTTATAGAGTTTCATTACTATATTAGCCATAATTTTTCCAATATTAAAATAATATCTGATCTCTTTAATTCAATATTAAAAAATATAATTATTATATATTTGAATTATTAATTTTATATGTTTAATATGCTTAATTAGATAGCTTTATTTTATAAGCCCCATGTTTATATTTTATATGAAATTTAAATAATATCTTGCAACTACTGATAATTAATACAATTTATGTATCAAATTCACATAAAAATTGTTTATAAATTAGTTGAATATCGTACATAATGCAGCAGAAATGAAATGCATATTGAACTGTATGGTATTCTTATTCTTAATGAATAATTATGTGTAATAAAATTACATTGTAAATAACTTTGTATATACATGTAACAATTTTCTTCGATGATTTTTCAATACTTTGCCTTTAAAATTGTTTCCTCCAACACTACGTTTCAATAAATTCTTCTTGGAAAAAAATCATTGATGTTCCAGGGCATATTACTTGCGATTTGACTTTTTTCACACCTGGCATAATTCATCATTTAATAAAATATAACAGATCAGATTTTACTAATTAAGAAATATTTTTCTTTTAAATTTTCTCTATAACTCTCAACTCGCACGTTATATGTTAAATAATTTTGACGACGCTGATGAAACAGTGATAGTTACATTGCTTCATATCCTTCATACCGCGGCGCCGCGACTCGACTGGTTATACTTTTCAGTTGGCTGGTGTTCTTCTCTCTCCTTCTACTTCCCTCTCTCTTTCATTCCTGGATGCCTTACGACGCCGGCGTCCTGACGGCGGCGCGTTACTCCCACTCTCTCAACAACATCTAATCCACGTGGTTGTGCGCAAACATACGGGGGAAGCAGATGCCGCCGCTTTGAAGTGCGTCCCAATGAAACTGCACGTTATGCGCAATCGATCCAAGTACCAAAATACATATATAGCACAACTATTATATTTCTCACATTACTTTAATGTTAATTGTACATGTTTAATAAAAGAAATTAGTTAATGGATTTATTAGAAAATATCATAACAATTGTATGTGGAGGCTTCCGCTATTATTCATCAAGTACAGACAATAATAATTTGTATTTTATCACAACAAAATGCTTTTTACATAGAAGTTTATGTGTAAACTCGATTACGCAAAATATATTTTTACGGTATTATTATTATTATTATTATTATTATTTTTTTTTTATTATTATTTTTTTTTTTTATTAAAATCATCGTTTTTATCCCCAATTGCAAGCATTTACGCGCTATAAATAATTAAATATACTGTTGATATTATATCATTAGTAATTATGTAAAATATCAACTAATATTATAAAATTAGTATTCATAAATTTATCATTAAATAATAAATTCATCGATATTATTTCATAATAAAAATTATAAAACTAATATATTTAAAAATAGATAAATTAATAAAAAAAATAATGATAGAAATTTGTGTATTAGGGCAAAAATGTTCAAATTTACATATTATCTGTTTTACTATGATACATTTAAATATTTTATACAATTACAACTTTGAAAAAGAAATTTATTCTAGCTTTACGTAAAGAATAATTAATTTTCATGAAAAAAATCGGGATATTTATATCACAATAAGATATCGAATTATTTTTTCATATAAAACTTTTAATACATTATTTTCATCTTGAGTTAATAATGCATATATATTTTTAATTTCTTCATTTAATTAATCTCTTATCTATTAACAAAAAAAAACTAGTATATTATGTGAAAACTTAATATAATTGAAATCACAACCAAAAAATATTGGGATAATAAAATTATAACATTTTTTTAATAAGTGATAAATAAAATTAATAAAATATTTCTATGTGTACATTGTGTGCGTGTGTGCGCGTGTGTGCGCGTGTGTGCGCGTGTGTGCGCGTGTGTGTGCGTGCGTACGTGCGTGTGTGCGCGTGTGTGTGCGTGCGTACGTGCGTGCGTGCGTGCGTGTGCGTGCACTTGCGTGGGCGCGCGCATTGATTATGGAGACTAAAAAATGAAATAAAATAAAGAATAAAATAAAGACACAAATGCATATAAATATCGTTAACGTCTAATAAATATTCAACCATTATGAATTCATAAATTAATTTTTTATTACAAAAGGGAATATGTTAAATATGAATAACCGTAATTTATAAATTTTTTCATCCCACTCTTTGTAAAATAATTTATAATATTATTGAATAAATTTATATTTAGGATAATTATTAATAAAATTCAAATATATCGTCGTGAAATATATTTTTATTTATCTCTTAAGAATTTTAATCATGCTGACGGATTTGTCTGTCTAAACAAATTTCAATTCATCAGATACTTTATGACCAACATTTGACAAATCTATGTCCATATGTACATATGCACATTATACATACGAATATATGTATATTCATGCATGGATCCATACATACAAACGCATGCATACATACAAACGCATGCATACATACATACATACATACACACACGCGCACATACGCACACACACACACACACACACACACACATATGCATACACGCATACACGCATACGCACAAACACACAAACACACCCCGACGCACACACATACACGTACGCACAAACACACGCACCAACGCGCAAACACGCAAACAAACAAACAAACAAACGCACAAATACACAAACATACAAGCATACAAGCATACAAGCATACAAGCAGGCAAACACACAATCACATAAACACATAAACAAACATACACATAAACAAACAAACACACAAACACACAAACACATAAACGCACAATGAAACAAACACAAACATATAACATTTAAACACAAACATTCAAAGCCACATAGGACATTCAAACACAAACATACACGCACATCCATACATTCTCACGCGCGTGCATGCATACACATAGACTCATACACGTATATGCATACGTACACATGAACAAATGCGTGCATACCAAAATGCGAACATAAATTTTACTATTAAATTTTGATAGGATTTTACAAACATATTTACGAAATATAGAAAATAGAATAATTCATTTCTTTTTCTCATCGTAGTCAGAAATGTCCTCGTTTGAAACATCATCCTCGCCGTGTTTTTGATCTTCTGTAGTTGTTTGGTTGTACGAGTTGGAAGTTGATTTCGTGCTTTTCGTAGATTTAATACTTTTGCAGTCATCGTTGCTGCCGGTTATATTACGTTCATTGGTACTGACTGCGTTATTGTTTGTGCCCAAATCATCCTGCTCAATTTCTTCTGTTTTTGTTTGTTTTGGACGTATCTCTGGCTCCGAATTATTCGAATTACTATTAATTACAATCTATATTTTAATATTTCCATTGGCATAGTATATTTTTTATTGAATGTTTATTGAATATTTATAATGTTAATTTAGTGGAGGAAACATCATATTTTATTGTCTATAAATATTTGCTCTTTAATATAATGTAAATAAATAGAAAACATTTATATTACGAAAAATATTTTTATTTTTTTTTTTATTTTTCTTTTTCCTTTTCTTTTTTTTTTAATATAATAGGTAAAAAAATCTTGATTCAAGCAATCATTAATCATAATTATTATAAAAAAAAAAAAAAAAAAAAAAAAAAAAAAATATTAAACGTTAAATAATTATTCGTTACTTCATAATTATATGAAGTTATTTTCATAATTTAATGTTTGAAAAAGTACTGTAATTTTATTACAAATTTATATTTATACATTAAAGATTTTAATTTTTCTCTTGCAATTCATTAAAATACTATTATTTAACTAAGATATCACTATTCTGATATTATATTAAATAAAAACATAATTTCTGGGAAGTAATTTTGTGAGTAATTTAATGAGTCTTCTTGCATATGAAATGCTTTAAATTTCATAGAACGAACAGTTAGAAATTTGAAGCGAATAATCGGCAAATTGTCCTATACGAAAATTCTCTACCGATTAGAAAGTTAAAATAATTTGGTAATATTTAAATTAATATTTCTTATTAATTTCTATCATTATTGAAGCATTGAAAACAATTACCTTCTGACCATTCGCCTTTTTACATGCTTCCGTTTACTTCTACTGCGACTTTTACCGGAACGTCTACTACGACGACCAGATCGGCTACGTCCTTTCTTATTGCTTTTATTCCTACGGGCCTCATTAATGTCACAATTATCGTGGCTTTTCTCGGCCGAGTCAAGCTGACGTTTTCGCGTCTGTTTGCGTTCTGCTGTGGAATCCGCGTCACCGGAATGAAGACATTTTATGCTGTAGTTTTTATTTTTGTCGGTTGTTTGGTAAAGATCCGATGAAACCTTTAACAGCTGACCCTTCGAATCCTTGAGCATTAAATATCCTGACTGTACACCAAAATTCAATGCCTGGCAGATGTATTGTTTAGCTTTCTGCACGCCTACAGTATATAATGATACAATATATAATATTATCAGAAGATTTTTTATTAAATAAATTTGCATTATGAATTAAATTTACATTTTTATAATGAAAATTATCAAACTAAACTTAAGCTATAAACATCAATGATTATTATTTTTTTTTTATTTTCTTTCATTCATCTTTAAAATCTTTTAGGAATTCTTTTATATTTTAAAAATATTACTATACACCGAGTATAAATAATTCATATAGATGTAAAAGTGTTTGACTTCAAAAGCGTTAAATTAATATTTTAAAAAGACCAATTTTGCGATAATCAATTTTACGTTTTGCTCTATTTTTTACAATAGACATTAACAACTTCCTCGAATGTCCTAAAATATCGACGTATGAGCTTTATAAGAGAATAAATTTTCCCAAATATACCTAATTTGAAATCGAGATTGGATTGTTTTTTTGGCTTCAATTGCCGTATGCCTTTCATGTGTCCTGGGGATCGCCTTTCTCGATCATCGAGGTCGTCATCGCTATTGTCTGAACCGATGTCCATATCTAATCGATCAATAGAATTGCAATAGCGAGATATCTTATCGGTAACAGGTAGCAATTCCTCATCACATTCCTCGCCACATAATTTTCCGAGGCACTTATAGAGTATGCTTGTGTCGTTAGGACTCTTACGTCGCTCTATGTGTATGAATTGTTCATTAGTTTCATATGCAAACGTTCTATTTTAAAAATTTGAACAATTTATAGTATCGTTTGCATAGTAAATTTTCAAAAAAATAAATAAATAAATAAATAAAAGTATATATCCAAGATGCAGTAACTTTTGAACGATATATTGAATATTTAAAAATCATAATGGGTATCTAACCAGAAAAAGTACATTTACTTTGTTTTGTTTTATTATCAAGACTTGTAAGCGACTTCAAATTATATCGAGGCCATTTCGAAATAAATTTCTTTTTTTTTTTTATATTTTATATTAAATTCATATTTACGACAATAATCATAACTATATTTTCTATATATCAATATTACGTAATAATTTATTGCAATACCATTTATTATTTTTTTCAAACACAAAAGAAAAAATTAAATAATTTTTTAATCATTATATATGTATTTATTTATTATATATGTATAATTTATTTATTTAATCTGTAAAATTAAACAAAAATAGTAATCAACTTATCCATTATAACCATACAATTATATATACCATATATACATATACATATATATATATATATATATATATGAATAAATTTATATATCATAAAATTATATTTGAATGTAAAATAGTATTTTAATATTTTTATTTCTACTTTAAATTATATTTCAAAGAATATATCTAATTTGTATCCTCTTTTATTTCATAATTAAAATAAAGAACTTAAATTATGTGATTAAAAAAAAAATTAATATTTTTTTTATTATAAATATTTTATTCGGTGCATGAACAATACTTTTTTGTATGTGTCAATCGTTCATTTTTTTTTTAAAGATTGAGTTATCAAATTATGTACTTTGCACATATTGCAAATGAATACACAACGATGAATCTTATTATATTGTAATCTTAAACAAAATTTTACAAAAATAATTTGAAATTAATGTGAAATTCATAATCAAACTCTAAAGAAATTAAATGAGCATAATCCAGTATACCTGCGCTTGAACAAGCGCACACGCACGCACGCGCACGCGCGTATACAAATCCGATTGAATATAGAAATATTCATACGTATGTATGAAATGGTTTGATTACTAATAGAATTGCAAGAAAAGTTGAATTAGCCGCTTTGGCTAACTTACTTGTCTTGTTATTGTCACGGTTCTTTGCTGAAGAATCATGGGATCGCTTCATAGGAGCCATTTGTCCAGCTTGAACCCCCGCTGGTCAGCGAGGTTCTGTAGATTTAATTGTACTCAGTGATTTTCGCTTATGATTATAAGATCGCGTGGATCTCAATCGCCGTGGCGAGGAGTAAAAATAGATGTATGCCGGCTGTACACGTCAACTAGCAAATTTGTTGACGTGTGGTCGCGAGGGACCGATTCGCACTTTCTCTCACGATACCTTGCGAGCTTCACGATTTCGATGACCCATTGTTTTTACTCTCAATTATGATTAATCGAACCGTTTAATTTTATTAATCAATATAGATATGCCTCCATTATCTGAAGTTACTCGAGTGGAGCTGTACAAATATCAATTTTTTTTTTTTTTTGAACATTGATGGCAATCAATCTATAAATAATCGTAAAATAAAGTAAATTTTAGACTTTATATTAATACATTAAATTAAATTAATAATTATTCAAACAATTAATCGAATTGAATTAACAATCAAAAAGTTAAAGTAAATAAATTAAATACATACACTACCTATAAATTTAGAAAATAGAGAAAAAATGATTGCAATAATTTAACAATAAAATTTCTAATTAGATAATGTTATAAGTGAATGCCTTTTTCACAAAATTACATTAATTATAAAATTTTGTATCTTCGTTCACTTGCAAAATTAAATATGAAATTATATTTTGAATTTAATTATTAATAAAAAAATTAAATGCCAGATTAAAAAGCAAATTTATGTTATTACTGCCTACTATAATTAAATTATATTGACCAACTTATCGTCAATATTCAAGTTTATTTAGTAAACAGCAGAATAAAGTTATTCTACTCTTCAATAAATAAAACAAATAATCTAAGCAATAATAAAGCAGCATAAAGAAAAATTTGAAAATATATTATATAAAAGTGTGAAAATCAAATCTCATAGAAAAAGGAACTCTTTTTAAAAATCTCAATTTCATTTAAAAATTATTTTAATATCATTTATTAAATTCATCTTTTCATAAAGTATAAATTACAATATAATCTAAATAAAGACTATCATGTCTTATTTAAGACAATATTTAAATATAATAATACTAGTAATTTAGTTTAATCAACTACTCCTCATACGCTTTACTAATTTTTAGAATATCTGTGATATATTACTATATAGATGAAATTTAATTTTTCTTTTATTTATAATTAATTAAATAGTTATATTTACTAATTTCCACTGAAAAAATAGACAATTAAAGTTTCCAATATATATATATATATATATATATATATATGTATTCAATTAGAATACTGCACAATGTCTTTTGTGGAGCAATTTTTTATAAAAAGAAAGTAGTAATCTTCCGACAGAAGAACACTGTTGATTTGCTGTATATTAATTCTAGAGTTTTATTAAAGTTTCACCATAAAAATGGTTCATAAAGAATAATATGCAACATTTTTTATTCCAATATAAAGAATATAAAATATTAAATTAAAAACTCAAAACTTTAATATTTTTTTTAACTAACAGTATTATATAATAATGTATATATATATATATATATATATATATATATAACATATTCGTAATTAAAGTTACTGAGAAGACTTTAATAATTATTGCTATTTAATATTAAATATAATTTATATACATATATTCAATAAGAACTCTATATATTAAAAATAACATATTTTATAATATTGGTAAAAACAAAAGCAATTCTAATATGAGAAAAAATTTGTATAAAATATTTGATGCTTTATTTTAATAATATAATATAAATATGTTTTATTATTAATTTTATTATAATCAATACAAATATATTTTATTAATGTAATCACTTTGTGTTAGTTATGATATAATTGCAACGAATAATTTTCATAAAATTAAAAAGAAAAATAGGAATTGACTCAATTTCAAATATAATAAAAAATATAGAATTTCATTGTTTAGAAATTTATGAAAACAAGGGAAAAAAATTTTATTATTATATGTATTTAAGTAATATCTCTTTATTCTAAGAAAATTTAGAAAATAAAATATAATAATTATTATAATGTTAATATAAATTTACTTGAGTTTTTAGAAAGTAAATATTATACGTTAAACTGTCCATTAGGGAAAAGTATTTAGGCATATAAATATATTAAGAAACGTATGAAAATAATAATATTTCTGATATAAAGTAGTAAAGATGAAGAAAACGTACTTTTCACGTTATTGGTCATTCATTTTCATATTTATGATAAACAATATAATGTGTTATTACAGTATTTTTAATTTTATTGATTTTATAGTGAAAATTTATCGTAATTTCTTTCTATGAAAATGAAATAATATAATAATTATTTGAATTTTATTAAAAAAAAAGGAACTATATTTAGTAAGATGATAATGATTATATAAGTCTAATGGGTACATGAAAATAGTGTTATGTAATAGTTATGTAAAAATGGTTTTTCTAATTTTCTAAACTAGTAAAATTTCGAATATTTTCACGAGATAATATTCATCAATTAAATTAAATTAATAAAAAGTACATATGCTTTAAAAAATAAAAAAATTAAAAATAAAGCATACACTAATGTAACGTATTCTCTACTATAAAGTATCTAATATTGCATTAAATGGGGAAAAAGTTGGAAGTAAATTTAAAAATAGCTATTAAAAATTCATTCATTAAAAATAAATTTAATGTAAAATCTTCCTAACCAGTAAATTCACAAACCTTCTCTTTCCTGTCCTTAAAACAATGCTTTTAAACTTGGTGAGTTATCGCTCCGGGGTCAGGGATGACTATCCGCTTTATTTCATTTTATTTGTTCAATACTATTAGTTTAAAAAATCTAACTGTTTCATACTCTATTTTATCCAATACATCTTTGTATTATAATGGCTCTGTTGCAATTATTGTATTATTAAAAACATGTAATTAAATTTTGAAATATTACCAAATTTTGATTGCAACAATAGGAAAGACTAAATTCAATAACAAAACATGATAAACTCGAAAATTTATATAAATTTTTTATTTCATTCTCCTGTAAGTAGTTAAAAATTAAAGAAAAAAAAATTAAAAATAACATATACATTTTATAAATAAAGTGAATTTGCAGATACATATGTATGTATATTTCAGAAAAATTATTTACATGAGATAGTCCTTATTTAATATTACGTTTCTACAATAAAAATATTAAAAAATATTATGTTTATGCATCCTTCCCATGATTTATCATAGTAATTTAGCTTTATGGTGAGAGTAAAGACTGCATATACACTGCCACGCGCAGGCTTGAAGTATTTTTTTTTTTTTTTTTTTTTTTTTTGGGTCAGGCCTTAATGACAAAAATAATTGGAAAAAATGAGGAAAATGTAATGATGATGGAGAAGAGAAGGAGTCTCGACAAAAAATTGAGACTCAATCGCTAAATAACGTGTCAAAGTCTGATAATAATAGCTTGTCAAACGGAATTTTATGACCGTCAGTTCACAAAAATGATTAATAATACTGAATCTACATTTTTTTTTTCATTTTTATCATTCCTTTTTTTTTTCTTCTTTTTTTTTTATATTCATTTACATATTAATTTCTATTTCTATTTAACTAGTATTGAACTAGTATTTGAGCAATTTATTTAACTAGTCTATGAAGTAAAATTTTTTGTTTTCATTTCACTGTGCTTGACGTTAAATATCAGAAATACAGTAATAATACTGGAATATTTTTTTTTGTTAATCAAAACATATATATCTTGAAATGTTAATTAACTTACTTTGCATTAGAATGTTTGATTTATTAGTGTTTAAGATTAAACGTAGTATGAAGGTCTCAATAATTTCAATTATACTTACTCATTACATTAATTATATTGAAGGCATAATTATATAAAAATTTGAATTATTTCTTCTTTGTAATTAACAGTGTCGTTTTCAGTCAAAAATCAAAAAAATTTTCAAAAAACTAATATCTTTTAAACTTTTATATATAATGATAAAATTATAAAATCCTTTCGTATTCGGCTTAATGACAGCAACCAGACACAACTTTCGTATAGTTAACTACAAAAAATAAACTCATATACAAGCAGATGAAATTAAGAAATATATAATGAACAGAAATCATAGTTATACAAAAGAAAATATCGTAAGACTTCAAAAGAAAGTATTCCAAAAATATGCTTCCTAGTATTTGCAAACCTCCACCTAAGTCCACCTAAGATTTCACTACTCTTTTACATTTTTACATACATTTTTACAATTTTGGCAATGCAAAACATTCACTTTCAAAATTTCTTAGCGTTCCATGTTGTTAGCGATTCCGAGCGTTCACAAAACTACCATCAATGCTCAATGAACTCATCAAATGCCATATTCTTTTACGTCTTCTTAATACAGAAATTTTTATTATAATATATAAAATTTTATTATATTTTATGAAAAACATTATAAATAATAATATAGTTAAATAATTCATACGACTTCTTATGATCAAGTACATCTTATATTATTCACTATTAATTTTTTTTTTTAAACAAATGTATTATTCAATAAACTCTATTTATTAATGTATTTAAATATATATATATATATATATATTTAATTATTATCACGAATTAATTAATATATAAGGTAAAATTTATTATTTTCATATGGATTTTTACGTATAGACGATGAAATTAATAATACATTGGGCATTTCAATTTTTATTACAAATAATTACAATAATAATAAATATCAATTCTCTAAAATAGTATTTCATTTGGAACAAAAAGGTTTCGTCGTGAATCTTCAGACGAAAAATCCATTTGTAAGAAATTATCTAATAATGTGAAAAACCTAGTTAACATTCGGTCTCATCTTTCACGACATAAATGCATAAGCTACAATTACATATTTTTCTGTGAAAAAAAAAAATTTTATTCTCAAATTTACTATAGATTATATACAATAATATATAAATCACAGTCTTCGATATTATAAAACAGAATTAATTTTTTCCAAATAAAAGTTATCGGAAACTAACTTCTGGCAGCTTTGTCTTTTCATACTGGAGCTTTCGATCGATTGTCTATCGACTTTTTCTCTTTTTTCTATCAGAAATAGTGGCAACCTGTACTATGGCTTTTCTTCTATGCTTTTTTTGCGGAGCTTTCCTCGTCAATCTTCGTGTTAATCGTATTTTACCTTTCTTTCGTTGCACACTGTTGGTGAGAGTACGCGAGAGACGTAGTAATTTGCCTTCGGTGTCTGCAGGTTCAAGATAACCCATATGCAAGGCGAAGGTCAGAGCCTTACGAACGTACCGCCTCGCTTGCCGCTTACCTACACACACGCAAATAAGCAGCAATAATTTACGATAAATACATACTGAATTATATACGTATATATATATACGTATATATATATATATATATATATAGTAAATTATTGCTGCTTCAGCTACTAAAATAATAACCTAATTTTTTTTTGTGGTGGCCTGTCACTATTTCCTTCTTATTGGCATATGAAAACAAATACACACTGTATACATTAATACCCTGAACTCAATTATTAATAATACAATTAATATCCCATTTCATTTAATGCATATACACATATTTTAAGAGAAACTAATTTCAATTTAAAAATATTGAACTTGTTTATACATTACACATACATTTGTCCCAAAAAAAACAACAAACATATACAACTATTACATGTGCATTGTACTACTGCCTGAACGAAAAATAATTTAGAGTGCCCGAGTTATTCGATATACATGAAATATAATAGCATCGTAAATACACACTATATGGGAATTCTATACGATGCAATATAAATTTATTTAATTGACAAGCTCTAAAAATCTATAATTATGTAAGGAAATAAAAAAGTCAAAAACTAATATGATAAATCTGTAGAATCTTAGAGCCATAAAAGTCATAAATACTTTGATTTTACAAAGTTGATGATACTTAACATTTGTTCACTCTTGATAAATTTAATAATTATTAAATAAAGACATGGAACTCAGTATATCAAATATATATAAATAAATCATTGTTCGCCTCTAGTGTTTTTTTTTTTAATTTTCATATTACAATACATTTTGCAAATACAATATTATAATACGAAAACAAATATCAGTAATAATTGTTAAGCTAATCAATTTCGATATTTCTATTCAACACCATTATATATTAAATGTAAGATTTTAAATTTACGAATTAAAATTAAAATTTTACTAATTCGTAAAACTTCAACAATCTACAAAAGAATTGTTTAATATCACTAACTTCAGATAAATATGAAATTACAATTTATTTTTATAGATAAATATAATAAATCAAATTAGTAATTGGAAATACCGAACCTTCTTCGATGCCAGCCCTGATGAATTGATTGATCTTCTGAAAGATTGTATAACTTTTTGACACTTTGTTTTTTGAAACATTTTTTGAGGAATATCGATGCTTTTGGCACTTTTTAGATTTTGTCTTCAGTAAATTTAACAGTGGAATTATTTCATCGTTTATAGTGGCAGAAGATTCAAAATCTGTAGAATACGGTAATGCAGCAGGAAATTTTGTCTTGGGTGGGTTCCATTGATTCGGCATTGGTGATCGAAAACGTCCGTATATATCTTGTCTATCGGTAGCATATTTTTCTTTTATTAAATAAAATAAAATACCACTAAATAGTCATTTAAAAAACAATACAGTATATAAAAACAAATATTTCATTTTCAAAAATTAATTGAAATGTGTGTTTATTTATTAACGTTATTCAAAAAATTATTATACAAATTTAATAATAATGTAAATAAATTTAATTTAAAATTTTATCTTCTTTATGTAAGTGGATAAATATTATTTTTCAAGTATAAATTTATATATTTCAATATACATACATACATCTATATACATATATATATAGTATTGATTCAAATTAAACAAATTTATACAAAATTTTCGATAAATTAACAATTTTTAAGTTATAATTTTTTATGTATTATAAGTTTGTATTAAAAAAATTAATTTTGATTTGAAGCTTCTATTATTTTATAATCATGTTTGATTTAAATAAAATATAATTCATCATATATTAATTTTCAAACCATTATATTGATATAACCTTTTTGATTTTAGTTGTATTTGTTACATTTTGTTTCGATCGATTCTTAAATATTAAAAATTTACTACAGTTTTTCAAAGTAATATATAGCCATTCATTAATTTCAAAAATGTTAACCAAGTAATTTCATTTATTGTTAAATATTTATAATTTGAAACAATGTGCTGTAAACAAATATTTAATGTAAATTCCGTGAAAATTACGTAGGAGAACGAATTAAAAGTTGAAACTATAAATAACGCAATAAAAAATTAATTAATTGATTAATTTATTCATTAATTAAAATATATTACCGCCTATATTACAGATATTACTTCGATGAAAATTATTTTTATTTTAAAACATTTAATAATTTACCTTTGATTCTCTGAATGTAATGAATTAGCAAATTTTTTTGATTTGTTTTTTGTAGCTTCTATAACAGCAAGATCGTCTAAAATACGATAATTAAATAATAATTAATGTTTTATGTATATAGAATGATTTACACTGAAAATAATTTAAATACATATGATAATCTATTATAATTATAGATGACAAAATACATAAAGATCAATATTATATAAATAATAAATGTCACCTCATAGACATATATATATATATATATATATATATATATATATATGTGTGTGTGTGTGTATACATATGTATATTTATTTACATGTATATTTAAAGGTCATGGAAAAAAGTAAAGCTTATAAAAGATATAAAAGAATATGTACTTAAATATAATAGAATGAAAATTAATATAAAAATTAATGAAAATTTTGCCTACAAAATGACCACTATAATCCATTAAATCTTAGAGGCATGTACCTAAAAAAGTACGAAGCCACTCTTCAATATTGGCGTCGTCAGTCACCGTTTTTTTCAACTTTTTATACGGAGTCGTAAGTGATTCAATTTGATCATCACCCATGTTATATCGATTCTTTAATAACCAACTGCACCCTTTTTGCCTAGGTGCCATTTTTTAAACGTATCGTTAAATAGTAGAATCCCAAGGATAATCCAGATTTTTAATTTCCAATGCCTTATCCGTGTCTTATCCAACATTTGGACGTGAAGTTCGCAGTATTTGGTGACAAGGTAACTACAATTCGCATTTGTCTATTATATAAACGATGGCCATTGAAGGTTGTTGCGAATTGAAAGAACTAAGAACCTAGTAATTTTTAATACATTAGCTTTTATATGCAACATCATTCTCTGTACTACGGAAAATATAATTTCTTTTAGCATTAATAAAAAATTTTATATATATATATATATATATATATATATAACATATAAAATAAAATACTTATGAAATTAGCCAATTTGAATGTTCAATGTAAAAAGGTTATTCTTATTAATTAAAAAATTTTTACTATATTTGCTGTAAAAAAAAAAAAATTTCAGTACTCATAATTATTAATTATAAGTAAATGAATATTTATAAACTAAAGATTATATATTACATAAATCTAATGAAATACGTAATTCATTTAAAAATGAAAATACATATACTTTTCAGATTTAGATATACAGAGTTTAACAAAGTACAATAATATTTTTATAACATTTTGCAGAATTGTACCTAAAATTATAATAACATCGTGAAATACCATAATTGTTTTAAAAATGAAATATGTTGATAAATATTATTTATACTTACTTATAAATTAAGTTTCTTGACATATACTTTTTTAATATATTTCATTTAAAAATAATGTAATCAATATGACTAAATAACTTATAACAATAAGTGTAATAATAATAATAATAATAATAATAATAATAATAATAATAATAATAATAATAATAATAATAATAATAATAATAATAATAAATATTAATGAATTTATTAAAAATGCCATGGCTATCTTACTAATTTAATTACTTATATAGCTAATATTAGTTAATTAAAAGCAACTATTATTATTTTATTGAAATCAGTAAATTTTTACAATAATTTAAACTATAAAGTTTAAAATTTAATCAAATGTAATAATTGATATTTTGAAAATACTATTAGTAGAATATAATTTACGGATATTGAATATTTGTATTCATATTTCTTCTTGGATATTTTGTATATTTTAATTGAGATATAAATATATAAATAATATTTAGTGCATAAATATAGAATTAATTAATTTTGATTGTAAATTAAAATCAAATTTTTGACATTTCCATTGCAGAATAAATGCCAATTTTATAAAGTATTACGGGTACATTGAAAACTAAATAAAATAGCACAAATTGTACATTGATATACAAGGACACTTATATACGTAATAACAGAAGACGATAAAAAAATTAGTCGATAGTAGTAATTACATAATAATGCAGTATATTTATAATTATTAAGAGTTTTACAATAATACGTGTATTACTACACGACAAATTTCTCCATTAATTATAAACATTTTTATATTTATTTTGTCTTAGAGTTCGAAATCTAGAAATCTTTATGACTATCTACTAATTTGTAAAGAATAATTGATATTTTAATAATTTATACGTTAAGCATGTGTGTTTAAATACTGACCTTTATACAATGATTATTTACTTCTATATTATACTTCAATCAACTATTAAATGTAATAAAAGGCGACATAATCAATCGAGTAATTGTTCTAAGGACTATTTTTTCTTGATAAAACACATCTTCTTTCAGCTCAATATTTGTAGTTTTTTCGCTTGAAGGAATTTTTCGTATACATTAATAAAAATGCATGTAATAAAAATACAAAACGTGCTGACGTTTGCAATTAATACACTTCATTTTAATAATTCATTGTCAGTCAATAATTTGAAGTCAACTAGTTTTATTCTTCTAATTGTAAGTTTTGTATAGAAATTCTGTTAATGTAGTATCATATTTAGTCTTATTTTAAAATATCCTTTAAAATATAAATTCATTTTTTATAGTATCGGCTAGAATGATAGAAAACTGAAATAAATTTAGGAATTATTACTATTAAATTTAATACAGCATTTATGCAATTCTTAGCATTTTTATAAAATATGATGCTTAACGGAAATTAATTTTATAATATCTGTAATTCTCCATATTAATACATTGATTGCATTCATTTATTGCAAAACTGAAGGAAATATACATTGGCCTCTAATATCTTAAAAATGTCGATGTGTTTATTATTTAGGATATTATTAAAAAACAACTATTTTTTCTGTTAGACACAAACATTTTTGTTGAATGATTTTTAATACATTATATATTGTACTTATTTCATCTCTCATGTTACAATTATAAACTAATGTACGATAATGTATTTAATTTACCTAACTATTAATAATTGAATAAATATAATTTTCTATAAGCATAGGGTACTAGCTTCACTGATTTATAATACAATAAATTATATATTAATGCTTTGCATACAATCAATTAAAATTTCTATGGCAAGAATATATCATTTATTGCTTACTTATATTTTATTAAATATTGATTAAAATAATACTATTTTATTATGGATATACACTTTAAATATTGAAATAATAATTATAATAAATTATTATAAAATCTAAATTGGTAAGAATCTAATAATAATAATAATAATAATAATAATAATAATAATAATAATAATAATAATAATAATAATCCAATTTAATAATAATCCAATTTAATAATAGATCTTATTTAGTTACAATTGATCAAAAAATTAATTCAATAATATAAACGAATATTTTAATTATTATTACATATTCATATAAGAGTCTTTTCTGATAATAAAAGATGAGTAAAATTTATGGAAATTCCAATTACTTTTGCACATCATATAGATAGATCATGTAGATGAGATTTGATTATTATAATACATACGTAGCGATAAATAACATTGTTGCTGCAATCACGTAAGAAATTAGAAGCAATTTCTATGGCTACACGTGGAAGCAATTGAAAATATTACGACTGTGAAAACAAGGTCACGTAGCGGAAAACAATCCTATCGTCGAAGGTTTTCAAAGGACGAAAAGACCCGACAGTTGTCGAGTGTTTTAATGACAAGTGACTTTATGTTAGCTGTTAACATATCCAGGGATATTGCATACGTACTGTGCTTATGTATTTTTATTACAATTGCAGAAATTGTTAACCAAATATTTTTAATAATCTTTAATTCGATTGATAACAAATAAAAATGAAGACTTCATATTATTACATGCTAAAGCAAATAATTAATAATTATTTTACTTTATATTGCATCTTTTACAAATTCAGTCTGTAGCAGAATAGATTTCAGTATAATGTTATTATAAGTGAATCAATTTTTAATTATAAACTAGAATTAAACACAATTTTTTCATAATGATATTATAATCATTTAATTATAATTTTAATAAGTTGAGTTTTTAAAATAACCAATTTATTTTTCAATCAATTTGAACCTGCATAATTTAAATAGAAAAGGTTTTTCATGCCTTATTTGCTTTATAAACATAGTGCATAAATTAATTTGGCATTCTTATGAAATAAATAAGTACAAAAATATAATCGAAAATAAATTAAGAAAAATGGAAATCAACAGTTTCCTCGAATTCAGCAACAAAAAATGTAAAAAGGCCAAGCTTTTAAATTAGAGCTACGGATAATTTAATGAAATTACCAATTAATAATGTATAAAGAGGATGTAGCGTCGACAAAATCAGATGCGAAACTACCAGTATCAGAATCAGCATGTGGTAAAAGAGGTAAAAACTAATTCTGCATGGCAATCGTTATAGTAATGAATAATACTATCGCTATGAATAAGCCGTAGATTATTAATAAAAAGTGATAAAACAATACTCAATGATTTATTCTGCATAAATGTACATATTTCAAATAAAAACAAGCGTAGACATTTTTTTCATTCCTAATACTAATTCTTCTTCTTCTTCTTCTTCTTTGCATCAAATTCTTCTTTACATTACGATCTATGCAGAATACAAACTTTATTAAATGTAATAAATGCAATCTATGTGTGTAAGAATTTAGTAATTCAAAATTATGTAAAAGATGTTGTGTACGAATTAAATAAAAATATGGAAAATTAAATTCTATTTTAAATTACCAACCATAATATTGAGGCTCTTTGAATCTACTATTTTTGTGTTTCTTGTTCGTTATTAATAAATTTATAGTTGAAAATTTTTATTAATGACTATTCATGTTTAACAATTGTATATTTGTGTATAAAGATTCTTCGTTGTTTCCAAAATATTGTTTTTTAAATTATTTGTTTTCAAATCTTAATGAAGTACTGACGACAAATCCTTTAGAGAAATAACAACGAATTAAAAGCTACAATAATTATTTACTTATAATATATTTTTAAATTAATTTAAATAATTTAATTTAAATCATTATATTTGTTTGACAATGTGTTAAATACATCTTTATAGAACCGTGTACAAAAATATATTTAATTTAGCATTCGGCAATGTAATTTATAAATTTAAAACAAAAATTTAGGACAAAAATTTAAAAGATTATTCAAATCTATTAAATTGAATTTGTTATTATTTCTTATTTAATTAATGCATTTTATTTTATATACCTGTAAAAATTCCATTAATATTCTATTTATGGTTTTATCAATTGTAATTTAAAATTCAAATTGAAATTTAAAATTTAAAATTTTATTTAAATGTAAACTAAATTTTGTTATTTTCTATATGAAAAAAATAATTCTTTATGATAATTTATAAATTTTGACTTATTATACAACAATTATGTTAATTAAATATTCAGTACATACATATTAAGTTTCTTTTATAATTTATTTTATATCTCATCATTGCGCTTTTTTTCTGTATAAATAATAATACTTAAGTTTATATTAGCTAAATGATATTTATCAGATTACTTATAAAATCTCTTTATAGTAACTAGTTATATAGGTATAAAATTTTTGATCAATCACATTTAAATAGTAAATTGTATATAGATATATGAATATCAGACCATCGTGAATGCTATTTTTATACTTTAATCAGATGTCTCAACGTCTTTACCCTATTTGCTAATAGTATTTAATTAAAAGATACTACCAGTTTTACCGGCATTGAAAACTTTTTCCTATAGCTACTTTCTTTATTTTTCAGATAATTCCAGACTGAAGTATATGATGCTTATATCTACATAATAGATTTTTCATCTGTGCGATATTAAATGTTTATATAAATAATGTAAATGAATATAAATTATTTACGCCGTTGAAATAATTAAAAAATATTCAATTTATTATGAATTTATTTATTATTAGACTTGTACTTTTGTATTATACTTTCCTTACTTTACATACACATTTATACGTGAAGTTATAAAATAATAAATACAGTGTCAATAAAAGTATGCTTTAAATATTGCCATATTAAAATATTTAAGTTGCTGAATAAGCATTGGATTGTGGATATCAATTTAAAAATAATTATATTAACGTATATATATATATATATATATATTAAAAATAATTATATTTTAAAACATCTTAAATGCATATACTTTTAAAATTTGTAAAATAATTGCGATATTATAAACTTAATTCATACTCATAAAAATTTTGTTATTATGTAAATTTCTTATTAAAACGTATTCAATTTGAATGAAAGTGGTTATTTATTTCATAAATAATTTCATAAAAATTATTTGTATTTAATGAGATTCTATGAAGCCGCTGTCAAATTGTAGATAATTAAAAAATATATATTTCGTGGCTCATAAATCTTAATTAATGTGGTTTATATTTCAAAATACTAGTATTAAAATACTACTATATATAGTATTAAAATAATACTAGTATAAAAAAAACAATTGATATGATGTTTTTATATTATATCTATATTAATGAGCCTCAGGCTATTATGTTAAAAAAATGAAAGAATATTAAATTGCTTCGTTTCTTTTAAAAATCTATATTTTAATATTGTAAAATTTATATTGTGAGCTATTCTGAATTATGTATAAATGAAACAAAATTGACATAAGGACTAATCAAGACATTTTGGAGTTCAGTTAACAAATTGGGGGAAGAAAAATAGTAGAGATTGAAATAAATTAATATAATTTTTTTTTTATCTGCACTCAAAGGCTAATTAATACACATTTAATATATTATAAAATTAACAATTTCAAAATTTTTAATTAATTTTACGAACATAAAAGTTTGTTTCATTGATTTCTTTTGTTGAAATAGCACCTTCAATAGTTACGCTTTTAAAGGCCAAAATTTAATTCATACATTCGAAATAACAATTTATAGATTTTTAAATTAAAAGAAGTATATGTCTTGATAGAATGTGATAAAAATTTGGATCAATTATACATTGATTGATCATTTTATACATATATCTAATTCCGATAAATTTAGGCGATGTTGACGTTGTTATGAATATACGAAAATATAGGCGGTGAAATGGATCTTTGGATCGAGATCTAACGATAAATTACTTGTTCGTCAAAGAAAGGATGTGAATTTGATTTTTCATTTCATCGTCAAAACCCAATATTAAAAAATGATCTTTTTCAATCAAATGTTTGGCATAATAATTATCGAATATTATTATTAAATAATTATTTCTTATATTCCATTAATTCTATCTATTCAAAAAGTTTCTTTATAATTTTAAATTATTAAAAGTTTCAGAAAAACTTATATATCGTAATAGTTATTAGATATGGTTCGTTGACAATCAAAAATTCAAATTTAATTGAAAATCATTTAATGCAAGTAAAGATAACAAATTTATAAACATATTTAAATTATTATATTTAAATATCATATTATTTAATAATTGAGTAAAACAGACACTATAAAGCCATATACTAAATAAAATAATAAAAGGATTAAATATATATCGAAATATAAAATAAGGCGAAATGCATAGGTAATAACCAAATAAAATTTTATCGGTTTAAATATAGAAATACATTTATTAATGCGAGAATCAATAAAAAAAAATCATATTCATATTAATGAACTGAATCAAACACCAAATATTATTCATTTTTTTTATAAATAATATTTATTATAATCATTGGGTAATTATATTTATACGCATCTTTTTAGTAAGTATTAGTAAGTCTCGAATTTTTACGATTTACTTTGATTATTATTTATGAAATAAAGATATAAGGAGATGCTATAGAAGGACAGCGTATTATTTTATAAAACGGCTTTTTTGCAATATTTACGTATGGATAAAAAAAATTGGAATTTCTGAATTATAATAAGTAATATTTCTAATTTCTAATAAAGTACGAGTAGTTTAATTATTCAAATACATTTTTTTCTATTATAATGTAATATTATAATTTACATTCAAAGTTTAAATCACACTATTATTTTTATTTTATAGACTTAAATGTGAAAAAAGCATGGCAAAAATCTGTTGTAAATTTTACGAAAATTTTTTCTATTCATAATTAACTATACAAACATGAATAAGAAATATCGTTTTAGAATATGAATTTATATTCGATGTAGGAATAGATTTTATATAAATTTAGTATATGATATATATTAATTCTTATAAAATATAAGGATAAATATGGAATACATTTTATTATTTCTATTCTATTTCTAATTTGATTAATTTCTAATTAATCGTTTAAAATTGCAAATAAGTTGCTGAAGTTCGAAAGGGATAAAGAGAGAATGTGTAGTGTGTGCATGCGTGCACGCTCGCGCGTAGAAAATAAAAATGCATTCAACGAAAATGTTAAAGAATGGAGAATAAGATATAGAAATAAAGAAAGGGTGATAGAGTGAAATGTATAGAAAATTGCTGATTGGTTTGGAATAAACAACTACTTGTTATACTTTTCTCTTTTTATGCTTTTCTCCAGAAAATTTAATTACATTTTCCAATTTAATTAACATTCTAATAAATATTATTATGCATTATTATGCATTATTATGCCTCATCAAATTAATGCTGAATTTCGATAAAAAAAATAATACCAAAATAAAATGGAATAAAGTAAAATTCAATCAACTAAATCTAATTTATAGACATATAATAATAACTTGTATATTTTGAGAGAATGCATATATTAAAGTATAATATTTCAAAATAATAACATATTTACAGCTATGAATGACAATCTCTCTCTCTCTCTCTCTCTCTCTCTCTCTCTCTCTCTCTCTCTCTCTCTCTGTGTAATTATATGTAACATTTGTCACAGAATTAAGATATACAGGTGTATGTATTTATATATTTAGATAATTATTCTTTACCATAGATGAATTTAGATAACTAAATAAAAGTTCTTGATTTTAACATTCGATTTCTACCTTACCAACTGTATTCTACTTTATGAATAAGTGAGCATATAGATATCTTATTATCAAAAAAATATCCTTATTCTATTTCCTTACGTTTATTCAACTACGTAACCGACCTTCATCATCCGACGATACGTCAATATTACATTCCATTTCATGGAGTTTCTTATCAATGAATCTACTCTAAATACATCCCCACCCCCATATTTAGTGCCAAAATTTTAATCAATACTACTGTCATTGCTTATACGCATTAGTGTGCCACATGTGCATGACATTGTTATGCCACTATTATAGTCGAATAAAAATTATTTTCAATTTAATCTTGTAACCGTGATGTCCTGTGATTGTCCTCCAGTTAATAACTGAACATCTATAATAGAATGCAGGAGAAGGAATTTACCAAGTTCAGCAAAATTACATCTATTGATTTGACGGCGTACGTGTGTATGCCTAGTGTCGCTTCTGTGGTCCAGCTTCGATAGTTTTTAAGCTTTTATTTATTTTTCGTATGTGAAGATCGAAGTCCGAAGAAACTTTAATATCTCATTAGATTAGTGCTGTGAAAAAGAATGAAAAGGCAAAATGTTAGAACGCTCTCGCTCGTCGTATGTACATTTACATATCTTTTGATAGGAGCTGCTGTGTTTGATGCCTTGGAGTCGAATACTGAACGTAGACGCTGGGAAATCCTATCGGGTACATAAAAGAAAAGTGTTCTTATTCTTTAACATTAAATTTCAATTATTTTTAACTAAGCGGATCAATGGGAATGATAAAATGTATGAATTTAATTTGGAAATTTTTGCAACGTTGAGTTAAAATTAAATTCAAATATTTCGTAGTGATTCAGAGTTTTATCATTTACATTTATTTTGAGTTTATTGGATATTTATTTTTTTATTACTGAATTTATAATATTAATTAATAAAACTAAATAACATGTTAATTTAAATTTTTCTAAATGTCAATTACTTTTTACAAATTTTAATTTGTCATATTAACAATTGTACATAGCCAATTATGTTTATATGATTTATCTTTTTTTTTTTTTTTTTTTTTTAATGCTTTTCAAAACATATATTGTAATTGTACATTATAAGCGATTACATTACAAATAATAATATAGCATTATAAATAAAATTATGAAATGAATTAACAGTTGGTATTATATAATGGAAATTTGTATTAACAATAGGTAATTCGTTATATTTAACGTAAATTCATTTTCTTTTCAAATGAAGAGGTGCGTCGAAACATGATGAGGAAATACAACATTTCAGTAGAAGACTATCGAATGGTGGAAATTGTTATTATTGAAAATAAACCACATAAAGCTGGCCCACAATGGAAATTTGCAGGAGCTTTTTATTTTGCAACTGTCGTTTTAGCAATGATAGGTGAGAATAAAGGATACTATTATATTTTTTATTTTTAAATCTATTTTTAATCTATTTATTAATCGTTAAACACATAAAATTCAAATACTTAATTAATGCTTCTTAAAAATTAGCTTTTTTAAATATATTGATAAAAAAAAAAAAAAAATATATATATATATATATATAATTGATTACGATTTACAATAATAATTTATTTATCGTAATAAAGGTAAAATAGAACTTTATTAGTTATTCCGAATAAAATGTTTTAGTCTTTTCATATGTATTGCAATTCATAATATGTAACAATAGGGAATAGAATAACAATGAGAATAATAATACTAATAAATTAAACGTTTTTATTTGAATTATAAGTATTTAAAGTTTTTAGGAATACTACTAGGACTGAAAAAAAAATTACGAATAAATGTGCAATTGTATAAATCGAAAATTCATAAGCTAATTTACTAAAAATATTTAAATAAAATATGAACAATATTTTTAATGTTTAATAATCTTAAGAGAGAAGGTAATAAAATGGAAAAGTTACTCGTTAATTAAATGAAATTTATTCGATAAAACTTTCTACCCTCTATATAAATGATAACAAATTTTGTTTTTATAAATTAGACTTATAATACATTGTAATAGTATTCTATATTTATATTTTTAGATTTTATATTAATCTAACGTTATTGTTAAAATAAAAATTTTATAGGTTACGGACATTCGACTCCGGTAACAGTGGGTGGCAAGGTGTTTTGCATGGGATATGCAATGGTCGGGATTCCATTAGGTCTCGTGATGTTCCAAAGTATTGGTGAACGTTTAAATAAATTCGCTTCGGTTGTCATACGGCGAGCTAAAACTTATCTTAAATGCCAAAATAAGGAGGCAACGGAGATGAATCTTATGTTGGCCACTGGCTTGCTTTCTAGTATTATCATCACTACTGGTGCAGCAGTTTTCTCGCGATACGAAGGTTGGAGCTATTTTGACAGCTTTTACTATTGTTTTGTAACGCTTACAACCATTGGATTCGGTGACTACGTAGCACTTCAGGTATTTTTACTTAAGTATTTTATAACTAAAAATAGAATTTTCTTCAATGTAATAATGCATTTAAATTCATAAATAAATCGATAAAAAATAATTTATCTTATTAGCGGTATGTGTAATGATAAAAATGTAATATACATTGTTTTCAGAATGATCAAGCCTTATCGAATAAGCCAGGCTACGTTGCATTAAGTTTAGTATTCATCCTCTTTGGCTTGGCAGTGGTTGCTGCTAGTATAAATTTACTCGTTCTTCGATTTATGACAATGTAAGTCACCAACTATAATTATTATAACAAGTGTACTCATATATATATATATATATATATATATATATATATATATATATATATATGAATACACGTTCTGTCTGCTACTGTCTAAAAGACTAATTATTAAAATGTCGAAAAATACGTATATCCAATTATAAGAAAAATTATATCTTTCCCACATATAGCATATCACATATATTTAAACCTCGTTTTAGATGTTATTTTACGAGTCTCGTTTCTTTTTCGATTTTCTTCCTTAACGATAATCATCGCCTTCATTACCATTGCTTTTAACAACGCAGTTAAGTAATCCACTTCACCCAATTTCTGACATCGAATTTTCACAATTACATTATTACAGTAAAAGGCTTTAGAAAAATATCTTATTGGTATTAAAAATAACTTTTAATATATTTAAATTTACTTTCCAATTCGCTACTCTCTAGGAACATCTCTTTTTTATTCTCGCCAATAATTAATTTATCTAAGTACTATTATTATATAACATCGATAACGTAAAAAGTTTAGCGTAATAATCATTATTCTATGTTTAAATCTAATTTCTTCCATTATTTTCTTAAGTTAGATTTTTCATATTAGATATCAATTGCAACAGGACATATGTATTTTATTTATGGTACCCCATTACTAGTGCCTGCTTATGATTACTCTTTTAATCTTAACATAAATTATTAAGTACCGAAAGTTTAATAATGTCAATATTTCTAAGGCTTACGAATAAATTTGCTTAATTATGTGTTTCGCATAGTTAAACAAAATATCTATACAAAATTTTTTTATTTCTTTAATCAATTATGCACATAGCCAGCATATGAACGTAAAATATTCTATTCGTATAGCAATATATTATATTATTTAATTCGTATATGGTAATAATGATGAAAATTATAATTAATTTATCATTATATAATATTTAATTTTATTATTGTAATATATATGTTGTTGTTAAAATAACGAAACTTGATAAAGCATTTTTAGTATTGTATTTACTTACAAGAAACTCGAGGTAAAAGATATAAAATGTTTTGTAAGAAAAAATAAAACTTTTACATGATCAATATAGACACTTAATTATGCAAAGATTTAACATATCATTTCAATGTACATAGGAACGCTGAAGAAGTACGCCGTGACGACGAGCTGCAATCAGCCTCTCACCACGTCCTCACACTTGACGGAGAAGTCGTAGCTGTGAATGGCAAACTACTAGCTGGCCATGTACCTATGTCCAATGACATCGACGATTGCGTCTCGGTATGCTCCTGCACCTGCCTAGGCACGACCAATTCCGAGCTTCTTGATTCGTCAGGATACCAAGGCTACAGACCATCGTCGATCACTGCCAGCTTGCGCGTCAAACGTGCGTCCGTTTGATGGAAGGAGTTTCGCCGGCGCAGTCTGCGCCATCGGCTTTCTAAGGTCGATAGCCGCGAACTCCTTGGCATCGACGTCTGAACCCGCCGTCGCAGATTTTATCGAGATGATATCACTATCCCTCATCTATCACCCACCCACCACCACCGCCATACCACAATAGTTCATCAATGCCATTTCTCGAAACAATGATAATATCTCTACTCTAGACTGAACCTCCTCCCTACGTCATGTGTAAATTGCCTTAAAATTATTACTTTTCAATTATGCAATTGGCAGACACAATATAGAGCGTTTTCAATAAACAAAAGGCTACCATTTTAAGGACTAATGTGACATTGATAAACGTTTACAAAACACATTGTAATATCAGATTGCATTGTTTATTAGAGACAATGTTAACGGATGAACAAATAAGAAGCATTATTTTATGCATAATTGGAAAAAAAAAATTTAATAAAACAATTTTAATGCAATTTAATTGTTATTCTAAAAAAAGAGAAATACACATATTATGTATATCTATATTTGTTATTTCTGATATTAAAATAATTTATTTCAATCAGAATTTCACGAGGTAAGAAGACAAAGTCATCTCTCAATAAAATATTTCAAAACATTTATTTATATACAAAAAGCGTACAAACAAATAGTATCGCAAAAAATGTTAAGAAAGCAAAAAATTAATAATTAAATGTTAATCGTACCATGTAATTTATAAAATTTCAAGTTAACTAAATTATAAAATATTATTATTATTAGTTTTATTTTTGTTATTAAAAATTACTTTTTATTTTCACGATTATAGATTGTAATAATAAAATTATATATAATTTATTAATTGGTATAGTAGTAAGATTAACTAACAAAAAATCAAGAAATGTTAATTATTAATAATTAATTTGTAATATCAATTTACATTTTATATAATATATACATAAAATTACCAAAATAAAAATTTAAGAATTGGAAAATAATTCTATTTTTACATAAAAATAAAATATGCAATATTTTTATAGAAATGTTTATAGATTTTTTTAATATTTAGAAAAATTAAATTTTACTACCCGTTAATTATAAAACAAAAATATATATATATATATATATATAATAAATAAAATTTTAGAATACTTAAAATATTTATTTAAAATACAATATTTCTTTTTTTTTTTATTTAGTTAATTAATTTATACTTATAAATATGTATATATGTCATACTTATTTTAAGAATAATAAATATACATTGTATAATTTGAAGTTATAGTAATTTATTACATAATGTTGGTTCAATTTTTCATTAGTATGTTGGTATAATTAATTTATTTTGTATAATTTAAGAAAAATAATAATATTTTAAAGTTCCATATCAATATTGTATCGAACAAATATTTAAAATTAAAAGAATTGAAATACATAATAAAACTGTCTGCCAAACTAATGTATACTAAAACGATTATTCGTATTGTAAATGAGTAATTTGTTAATATAAAATTATTTTATATTATTGTTGTTACGTATAGTAATTTACATTTGAAAGAGACTAGATTATCAAAACATTATAAGTTGGTTTTTATGTTATTATAATTATTTATGTTGACTTAGAAATTTGACCATTCTGCTTAATATTTCTCTTTTTTCTTGTTCTGAGTCTATGAAAGCTATATATATATATATATATCTACCTATATAACTCATGAAATAAATGTCAAATAAATCGGATATCAATATTGACTGGTGTAATTTATTTTTTATGTATTATAATTTTAAACAGTTTATTTTAAAAAATTTATATTTTATAAAACATACATCTTTTTATTTTAATATAAGACGTTATTGAAAACTATATTACAGATATGCTTGAAAATATGCATAATTTTTTTCAATCGACTATTTAATAATTAAATAAAATTTTTTAACCATATTTCATTTTATACTCATCAATATATTTAAAATACTAAATTACTTATCTTTAATACGAAGTATTAAAATCGTTATAAATGTTTGCCAAACTAACAAGCAAATGCTCAATGAAACAAGTTTTATATATTTTGTATAAACATTTTAAATATTAATTCTAGAATTAATGCATTTTTCAATATTTAAGCAAATAGCTACACCTATATTTGAAAAGGAAAAATATTTTGAGGAAAATTGATCGCAAAAGTATTGTATGAATTTCTTAGTATTTATTATTTTAATTTTCATTAATATTAACGTAACAATATTTAAATAAAGAGCAATTAGTTAGAGAAGGGAATTAAAATGTAAATCAATGAAGTAACCACAATACTATTAACGTAACACAAAAGTCAAAGAAAATAGATTACGATATAAAGGATATAGCATAAAGGATAAAAATAAAGCATCTTACAATAATGCAGTAAAATATCATTATTCAAATTTATATTTTGTAACAAGAATTATTACAAAATAATTATTTACATAGTCGTAAAACATATTATCAAGGTTGATATGATTGACAGTATGTATGTTTAAGAATAAAAAGTTTTTTTAATTTGTATCGTAAAATATTATTTTATCCCTACGTACTTGAAATTATAAAATAAATTTCAAACCAAAACATTTAAATCTAAAATCAGTTTTATTTATCGAAGATAAAGTTTTGTTTTTCTAAAAATTGATATACTGCAACGATAATCTTATCATTTATTGATTTATAATATTTTATGTATTTATAATGTAGCAGAATAATTCATATAAGTAGTATAATAAATAAAGCATAGAATGAACATGTGATTTTATTGTTGTAAAAATTAGAATTAGTAAGGAACGTTAATATTTATAATATAGAGAATACATATATGTTGTATCAATTCCTTTAATTAGAGAATAATTAGTATTCTTTTGTTAATACATAATATAAAATGCAAAATTTTTTTATTATTGTCATTATATAATTTAAGTAAAAAATAATTGTAATTAATAATTGCGAAGTAAAATGATAGGATTTAATTTGTTATATTGTATTCCTTGTTATCTATATAATTTTTTGTTACAATATTTTCATACAATATTAATGCTCGATTCTAAATTATAAAATTAGTATAATAATATAAATTATTATATCGTATTATTATATTAGTATATACTGAAGAAGATAAAAAATAAATGAAAATTTATTTCTAAAGAAGATTAAAAAAAGGTAAGAAATTATTTATATTTATATTGTCATAAATAAAATATGTATATTAAAATGTGATTTTCACAGCCAAAACTAGCGGATTGTATGCACTTTTCTAAAAGATACAAATATCAGAAACATTTCTCCAGAAGACAATGCAAATAGAACTTATGATAAGAACTATTATTAAAAATTAAGAAATAATTTTTCTAGCGATATTCATTTACATAGCGTTAGACAATCAAATATGATAAGCAAGAATTATTGGATAAGACTGAGTTATTCAATCATACTAATATTTATATGATGAAAACAATTTACTTGTCCTATGAAATGTGTCTGATTTTCAGGTGCTAACTCTAAATAAAAAGAAAATTATTATTTAATTTTCATTTTAATACTAATACTAAAAATACGTATTTAAATTTTATTTAAAAAATTATCCTATCTTTACATTTTATTTTATCTATGAATATGATTATATATTCCAGTCATTAAGTAAATAAAAATTATAGTTTTAGACAGTTAAGGTATGTGGATTAATTTTGTGTAATTCTTTATATTTAAATTATGATGTCTTCATTTTACAAATCTGTTCTTATGTTTGAATTTGAAAATCCACTGGATTGTTTATTTTTATGATTTAACCCTTAATATATTTTTTAAATATCTATTTAGGGAGTAAATTTGAGAAATGCATTGATTTATTAAATTATATAAAGAAAATTCATTTGTAAAATCTTATGCATTCAACAAGTTTTACAATGACCAATAAATTTATTATAAATTTCATAATAAAGCAATTTATAATGAATAATAAATTAATAAAAAGAATTAATTGTGAAAATAAATATTTGTAAAATATTATTCATTAATTGTATGATTTGAATGAATGAATGAATGAATAAAACAATTTGAATGAATGAATAATACGTTTTATAATTAAAATATGTAATCTTACATATAATTTAAAAATATAAAACATATATAGTTACATGTTTTTTATTCTTGTTCCATCACATTATTTATTTTCTAAATCAACGCTTGAGCTAAAATTACATACTAATGCTTGAATTTAATTAGTTGTCAAAAATAGCTTTCTGAAAAGGATAAAATTATAAGATCGTTATCATAAAATTTTATTTATAATTTAAATAAAGTTTATTATCGACATTAATAAAATTGAATTTGTTTTTTCATTCAATTTAAAATATTTAAATATAAAAAAATAAATTAAAAAGTAATAGTCTCCATATAATTATGAAAAATGATATTACAGATTCTAAGCGGTTACTTCTCAAGAAAAATTCATATTTTATAACATAAAGAAATTTATAATTTAATATTAATTGTTCAACAATGTTCCTAAAGTTATTTAAATTTAAATTACTTTAATGTTTTAAATTGACGTTGACTGTAAATAAGTAATTTGTTAAATGATTTTATTAAATTTGAATCATAATTCATTCAGTATGTAATTGTTCATTCTGGATTATTTGAAATTCATAAATCAAGGAAATGATTTATTACTGTAAGATGTAGCTTTTATGATCCATTTAAAATTTAATTAGATAAATAAAAAAAAAAAATATTATTTCTTATATTAAATTGATTGTGTATTTACATACATACAATAAAGTAATAAATATAACTTTGAATAGCATGTTTGATTTAAAGTAATTAAACGTTAAAAGAATTATGTTTAAAGGCATACGTACACAGGATTTTTAAAAGAAATTCTTTACTTTCATATTACAATGAATAATGTCCAGTAATTGATTATCAATTTCAATATGTATGTAAATTTTGTTTTGCCTTAGTAAATTATTTTTTATCGAGTGGATATAATTTTGTTATATCTATTTATAATCTTTCATATACATAATTTTTTTATTTAATTCCATGATCAGCAAATTAATTTTTATATATATTTTTATATAATAATTTATTACTTATTGAATGAGTCATAAATAATATATTTACAAGTTATAGTATATTATAATTGTATGCTTTTTAACACCAAGAAGTAATGTTTTTTTCATATTTACAAACCGATCCTACAGTTATATTTTTGATCTTTATGTTATAATCTTTTTCTAATTCAACATACGATTGTGATTTGAATAATAGATTAAATACAATTTCTTATGATGTTATAACTTACCTTACAAAAAGATTGTTTTAATTACAATCTAATACTTTTTTAACCTCTTTGAATGATTTTGATTTATTTATTTTTAATGATTTTTAAGCAATATAGCTTTCTTTTTAATATCAACATTGTTAACTATTTTTATCTGAATTTAACATAATGAAAATATGTTTATAGTATAGAAAGGAGATATTATACTATGAATTAATATATAATTCAAAAATTATACATACATTTTGATGATTTTTATAAAATATAATATATCGATTAAGATTATTTAATATCTTTTCATTTAACTTCAGTTTGACTAGAACAATTTGTTTATAATACTTTTTATTCTTTCATCTGTAATGAAAATATGCAATTATTAGTTAAATTGTTTCGATAAAAATGTATTTAATATACAATAAAATTTTAAATAGAATTTTATTTGGTATTATCTTTTTCTTTTCATGATCATTTCGATCAATCAGTCTATTTTCAAATATTAATTACATTCTTTATTAGATGCTTATTTATAATGAACTATTGAAAATAATTACAATTCATACTCTTCATTTAAATATGTTATTTGTATTAGATAAAATATCAACCACTCAATTTTGGCATAACTTTACCGCATTCTATAAATTGTACCAACAATTTTATAATTTTATAATTAGTTCGGCATATTTTATAATATCTGACTTCTTAAACTGCAACGCACAGACTTTTAATTTATGAATTATTTTTTCTTTCTAAGAACTAGTCAATTTCTATTTTTTAAGCAAAACTTCATTATATTACAGATATTTATTTTTAACATTTAAGTAAATTTCCTATTTCACGTACAGTTATATTTATGTTTTTATTAAATGATGCATTTACCTTAAGAGACATATAAAATTATTCTAATCTCAAACGAGTTTAATAAGTTTGTACATTTTACACGTATAATACAACATATCTGTGCATTTTAATTAAAAATATATATTTTTATATCTACTTAAAATATCTTTTATTAATAAATATTTTCAATTTCAATTTGAAAGAACTTATAATATATTTACTCTATTCTGTAAATATTTAAGTATAATGAACTGTTCACTTTTACATTCACTATTAATAACCTATTTTTCGCTATATTTTTTCCCATCATTTTACATTATAGGGATGAACAACTAACTCAAACATTTAATGTCTGTAACAATTATTAATGGTTATTTATCAAGGAATCAATATGAAAAATAAATCAAAGTTGAAGCTTTTAATAAATTTAATGATTAAAAATTTGCACAATTTTTTATTATTAATTTATCTAAAAAACTAACATGTTAAATATGTTTTTAATTTCATTACTTTAAGCTCTTTGTATGTTTCTAACGCATAATATGTTTACACTTTTAATAATTTAAACATTTTTAATGATCACTCCTATCTTATAAAATAACACAATTTGTTGTATGAAAATCTCAGTTCAAATGTAATGGAGAATTTTCTGTCCTGAACTTGAAGCTGAAAAGTAATAGAATTAAAAAATATAACAAAAATTCAAACCTTATGATATAAATTTATATTGATAATTATTTATAATTATAATTATATTTAAATATTTATAATAAATTTATGTACCAGGTAAATTTATTAAAAAATTGTTTGAAATTAAATTTATCAATCTTATGATATTTTGTATTTAATTTTCTAAATACAACATGTTTAAAAAAATAATATTAAATTAAAGATGATTAATTTTTACTATGTTACTTGTAATATTGAATTTATATCGAAACTTAATTTTAAAATAATTATTACAATTACAATTACTATATAGGGATTATGATTCTTTTATTAAATTAATTTGACTTATAAATATTATAATATTATAAATATTGATGTTCATATACATAATTAATATTATTCGTGCAATATATGCTTTTTGAATTCTCTCTCTTTCGCTCTCTCTCTCTCTCTCTCTCTCTCTCTCTCTCTCTCTCTCTCTGCCTACACATAGAAATTTATACTTTAAGTTAATTTTATTTATAATCAAGTCGTTTCTTTTTTTTAATTTGCACAATGTTCTTTCTATACAGTAAATTTCTTTCTTATGGACTGACTAGCGACATAACTAGAAAAATCATTAATTTAAAATTTGCATTAATTTATCATAGTTAAACCCTAGTTTCAAACTCATTGAACAAGATGATGTTTTCTATGTACATTACAATATTCGTATTTGGTATATTGAGAAAGGATAAAAAGAGGGATGCTCATCTTTGATTTGCAAATTAAATAAAACACGTTAAGTCAATTAATTCAATAATAATGCAAATAGATGTAAAGCTTGAGAAATCAACCATGATAAAGATATTTAGCTGTGTTGCCAGTTCGTAAGTTGTTTATGTATAAATCTATTCTATGAGTAATTCAACTGTATGAAGTATATGTGTGTACGGCTGTTCAAGCTCCGACAATCATATTCTGATCTGCCTATTTCTTGTATTGAAAAACACGATTTATTAAAATTTATACGTATAACTAACGATTCTTTAATTATATATGGATTTTTAATAATATAAATCTACTTATTTGCATTGTGAATTTGAATTGCTCAAATAAAGTCGCTTGAATTTTCATCTCTTTCTTTATAAATATATAAATCTTTAAAACTGCCGCTTAATTCGAGTAGTACGAAATTCTTTAACGAATAGCATTAAAATTTTATTGTCTATTTGGTAGGAAACGTCTATTTTCCACCTATTTTCTGTACACCTAGGATATCATTTGCATTAATGTACGAGTTCTAACTTACTATTTCATTATTTTTTACGAGTAGATGAAAAATATGTTAATGTAGATTTAAATGTCATGATTGCTACATCATTATACGTATGCCTTTAATGAATGTTTCCCGAATGATCTCCAATCGACAGTTGCTCAACATACAAATTTCCATTATACAGAAATAATAAACGTGTGATTAAAATATGGCACCATCATAATTCATGGAACCCTACTTCGAATCGAATAAATTACTTATCCAGATGATTATTACACTAATAATGCACGTTCATAAGAGGCATATTCAATATCAAGTTAATTGAATTTATCGCCTTTGAAATCTTTTAAAAGTAATATTACTTAATACGCTAGATTAGGAACTTTGTTAATACGCATTGTGCCGTTACAAATTAACGTTAAAAAAAAAAAAAAAAAAAAAAAAAAAAAAAACGAGCTGATTAAAAATGTACTATTAAATTTATGCAAACATTTGCATGAGTATAGTATTGTCGTATGCTTGTGTGTGGGTTTTTGGTGTGCGCGGGCGCGCGCGTGCGCTCGCCCGTGTTTGCACACATCTGCACGAAGTTGCGTGTGCACGGTAGTGTGCGTGGGAGTGGTATGCGTGTGACTTTATTACAATAATTAGGATAATTATTCAAATAACAATCGTAAAAGCTAAGAAAGTATAATCCGGAGAGTCGTAGTGGCCGGAGTGGTAAAATGAATTTTTGCGCGGCTTAATATTTGCCAATATTTAATTGAAATAAACGGGACTGATTTTATTCAAAGATGAGCGAATTTTTCTGGGACTGGTACTTGCCATATGGTTGCACATACTAGGTATTACGTATAGTATAAAAAGAGGTTTACATTTGGCGTGGCAACATTGCTTTAGAATTTGCGAATTGTCCGCGTGCGCCTGTATTGCCGTCGTGTGACGCTTAGGGTGCGAGGTTTTTATGTGCGGTGTATGCTCCGAAATGCCGCAAAATATTTTGAATGAAAAAATAGCAGTATGATACTGTATAAAGTATTTTATTGTCGGGTTAATGTGGAAGGTGCTGTTTTAACTAGTTATTGAGTAAATTGTATATAAAATATGAGACTCGTTAAGCCTAATTGGGTTACTCATGATGGTTAGTAATAACCTGTTCTTCTATATTTTCACCATTTGATTATAGATTTATTTCACAAATTTCAATTAATTATAATGTCAATGTTATATAAAAAATGTCCAAGTCTTTCAATGCTCCTTGAGTGATAATAAATTGATTCATTTTATTCAGGTTCTCCAATTTTTTCTGTGGATATTCATCCAGGTGGCAAAAGATTTGCCACGGGAGGGCAGGGTAAATAATTATATATTCTATATATTATAAATTCAATTTATTATTTGTGAATTATTTCAAATTACTGTCAATTATAAATATATTATAGGTGGAGATTCTGGTAGGGTAGTAATTTGGAATTTAGAACCAGTATTGAATGAAGCAGCAGAAGGAAATTCAAACATTCCAAAAATGCTTTGCCAGCTAGATAATCATCTTGGTATCGCTTATAAATATACTAAATATATATACATATATATATATATATATATATATATATATATATATATATAAATTATTATAATACTTAATAATTAATGATAAATTTTTAAAATATTTTTTAAAGTTTTTAAGCTATGTTTTATGATTTTATTTCATCAGTTTTTGTTATACAATTTATATTATTAGTTAATAAAAAATATGAAAATATATATATATATATATATATATATATATATTCATATATATCTCTATTTTATAGCATGTGTAAATTGTGTTCGATGGAGCAGTACTGGTTTATTAGCATCGGGCGGTGATGATAAATTAATTATGATCTGGAGATTAGCTAGTGGAGTTGGAGCTAGTACTTTATTTGGTGGTAAAACTGGTGTAGAGACATGGAGATGTATCGCAACATTACGCTCTCACGAAGGTGATATTTTGGATCTTGCATGGGCTCCCCATACGCCTTGGTTAGCTTCGGCTTCGGTTGATAATACAGTGATTGTATGGGAGACGTCAAAATCATCGATAGTCGCAGTTTTAAAAGGTCACACTGGATTAGTGAAAGGAGTAACATGGGATCCAGTTGGAAAGTACTTAGCAACTCAGTCAGATGATAAAACTTTAAGAGTTTGGAGAACAAACGACTGGGGTGAAGAATCATTAATCACCGAGCCATTTGAAGAATGTGGAGGTACGACTCATGTTCTGAGGCTTTCATGGAGTCCAGATGGTCAGTATTTAGTATCTGCTCATGCTATGAATGGTGGTGGACCAACTGCCCAAATTATCGAAAGGGATGGTTGGAAGCAAGATAAAGATTTTGTCGGTCACCGTAAAGCAGTTACTTGTGTTGTAAGTAATCTTATATTTTTTTATTTTTTTTTTATACCAATTGTTAACTTTATTTCCCAATTAATTCAATTTGAATATGTATTTAATGATGATTTTATGATTCCTGTAAATTAAAATGATTATTTATATTATATTCAATATTTGTTTTTATAATATATCAATGATAAAAAAGTTTTTTACAACTATAGTGTATTCTAAACAAAATAAATGTGATAGAAACATTACCTTTATCGATTTTCATTTATTTAATGGCATTTAATTTATTATCTATACAATACTTCAATACATATATATATATATATATCTAAATACTATAAATATAAATACTAGAATTAAAAATTCAATTTATATAAGTAATAAATACGTGCCGTAATTTTCAAAATACAAAATTGTCAAAAACTAAACTACAAAGTATCAACAACGTTGTTGTTAATATATTATGGCATACATTGTATATTATAACAACATTGTTTTACAATGTAAAGTATATTTAAATTTTACTATTTGTGTATATTTAGGATACTAACTATACACATAATTTTGTTATAAAAAATGTACTCCACATTATTTATAACGCTTAATGTTATAATAATTTTTTCAGAGATTTAATGGAAATATATTACAAAAGAAAACTAGTGGAGTCAATAAACCATTACAGTTTTGTTGTGTAGCTATAGGTTCTCGTGATCGTTCTCTTTCAGTCTGGTCAACTTCTTTAAAGCGTCCTTTAGTTGTTATTCACGAACTATTTGTGTCTTCAGTGTTAGATATCAGTTGGTCATCTTGTGGAATGTGCTTATGCGCTTGTTCCAAAGATGGAACAATAGTTTTTATAGAATTCACAGAACAGGAATTGGGTCAACCATTAGATTCAGCTCAACAAGTAAATATATTTAAAAATATAATTGTTAATTTGTCTTTTTCTAGATATATATTATGTTAACGATATGCTGCTACTAATGACAGGTTTTTCATATTTGCATGTATATGACTTATTACATTATTGCATACTCTGCATTTATAAATTTGTTTTATGCATTAATTTTATGTTAATAACTAATTCTTTTTTCTATTTGAAAATAATTCACTTTATAATACAAATAGATTTGTTTATTTTATTGACATTTTTCACATACAATATATTGTAAAGAATTATCATTTTTTCAAAATTTCTTCTTCTTAAAACTTTATTAATTAATTTAGTGTATCCTTAATATATACTATGTAGATTGGTATTCAAGAGCGATTATATGGTAAATTAGCCCAAGGAGGCTGTACTGTTATGGAGGCTCCAGAACTTCTTATAACAAAGCCTCCACCAGCGCCGCCAGAATCGTTATCTACTCAGCCTTTAAATTGTGTACAAACTATAAATTCTGTGTCATCCATGCCATCAAAAGCACCTATTAATAAGCAAATTGAAACAAGAACTTCAGATGGCAAACGAAGAATAACACCAATGTTTATACCACCACCGCCAGACATAATGTTAGATATTAATTTAAATTAATATATATATATATATATATATACAAAATTTTTAATTGTTTTACTTTCAATTTTAAAACTTCTTTATACGAACAATCATATATTTAACACTATTTTCGCAATTGCATCATAACATTTATGATATTTTTTTATTTTTAAATAATTCGATTAGGACAAAAATATTCATACAATTCATGATTATTACTACAATGACAATGCAAAATTTTGAAGTGTTTATTAATAATATTTAAAGTTTATAAATATTTTTTCATTAATTATAATAATTTTAAGATATAATTTAATTATAATCTGTTACTTAGAAAAAATAATTTGTTTTCAATTTTAGGGACAGTGGAATTAATAAACCAGTTCCTACGGCACCTTCCTCTTCATTTTCTAGCAGTTCGCAAACTAAAAGCTCCATCGTTATTGAGAAACGAGATGAAGTTGTACAACCAAATGTTAGTTCCACTATTAATTCCAATACATCAAGCACAACGGCGGCATCGTTACTTACATTAAAGCGCAAAGAACAAAATTCACAAAAACCAAATCATACATCGCCAACAAAGAAAAGTAAAGCTCCTATAGAGAGGAATGGTAACACTGTATTACTACCGCCATTAAAAGCCACAAATAATATTTACCAACAAGCTGGACATTATGCTGTCTCTATAACAAACAATCAAAATTTATCTCATTTACAAATGTTCCAAGGAACAAGTACGGAACCAGCTTGGGATCATTATTTAGGTTACAGCGTCACAGCTCTTGCAACCTCATCGTCAATAGTAGCAGTATGTCTAGAAGATTGGAGTGTACATACATTTTATACAGCGAAGGGAGCTAGAGCTACTCCCCCGTTTGCCCCGCCATCGCCTATAGCAAAACTTCATGCTGCTGGCAGTATGGTAAGAACTCAAGGATAAGAATTAATTTCTCATATATTAATTAACATAATTGGTTTAATTTTTTATAATTACTACAACTTACAATTATAACTGTATTCGATATTCAATTTAGTAGGGTAAAAATAGAAGTGTAATAATAAATTTCAGCAATAAGAATTGCATAAACTTGAATTCTACTGTATTTGAATGTATCTTAATTCATTTGCAAAACTTACTAAAAAGGACAGTTAAGCTTAGGCTGAAATTATCGAACTCTGAGAAATTATTAATGAAAATTTATAATCTATGTAATATTCTTAATAATTCCAATATTTTAAAAGATTATTTAATTTATATTGTCAGGACTATAGAATTCATTCATCGTGTTAAGTGTTGAAATACATTATTGTAAAAGTTAATTTTATTAAGTATAATGTATTAAAGGTAAATGTATTAAAAATGATTACAGGTAATGGTCATTTCGTGCTATGGAGATGTCCGGGTATGGGAGATATCTTTAAACTTCTGTCGTCTTATAGTATCAACATCTGCTGGACATTTAATTACTCCTGGTATATCGTTACTATCATGTACTTTGTATAACGGTATGCCACATTTAGCGTTTACTAATGCCAGAGCTTACATTTATCATAAAGAAATGGGTAAGATTTCTTTTAAGCTTACGTAATCATTAAAAAAATGTTTAAATTCTTTAAATTAATCTCATTTAAATATAATAATATTTTGTTATTATTATATATTAGTAGTTTGATGAGTTTTTAACATCTACAAAGCATTTGTCAATTCTAAATTTATTTTGAATATTCTTTCAATCCCATGCAGCTAAGAGAATAAAATTCTTTTGTTATATTCAAATTTAAATATTCTATAAATGATAATAATTAGATTTTTAAAATTAGAAATGAAATTGCATATTATTTAAAATAACTATTATCCATAAGTGAACATTAAATGAAATGTTTTCTAATACTAATTTATTGCAATATACTGTTAATAAAGTAGAATCCAGAAGAGAAAAAAATGTGTGTAGATATGTAGTTTTTATAATTGAGTAAACAATAATCGTGAGTATATTTTTAATGGGAAATTTTTTAGCTGCATGTAAGAACATAATTATTTAAAATAACATCATTTCATTTAAATATAAAATTTTTAAAGATTTTTCAGATTAATTGCTATAAAGTATCTTGATTTATCGACAATGCAATTAATTTTTTATTTCTCACGTGGAAGCTTTTTTGCATACGATGCTCCTGACTCTGTATTTACAGGCAGTCGTGAATTCATTCTAAATGTGTATAGGAAACGCTAGATTGTTTAATTATTCAATACAAAGTGAAATCTGAGTCTATCTTGGTCGAATTCTGTTGATCCAATTATATCGGGAAAAAAGTCATTTAAATTTCAATACGCGTTATGCGCTTTTAAATGAAACAGCTGATTATTATTGTCAGGTTCACTCCATCTTTTTGCATAATATTATTATTTTATTTTTTGTAAAAAAGATAATAATTATAATTTTTCTATCGTGAAATTATCGACTAAAAATCTTTTTCAATTACTCTTCCTTTCATAACGCGCTTACTCGTTCATCTTACTCCCTTCACCACATTCTGTATAATTTTTATATATTTACAAAAAATAATTCTACATAAAAAAAGAATAATTTCAAATTACTAATTAAATGATTTTATTGTTTTTAAATGTTTAATTTTTCGACAGGCACATGGTTGGTAATCGGCGATAGTCAGGATCCGGTGTGGCGGTGGTCAGCCGTTAATGCTACAAATAGTACAGGAATAGGAGGTCGAATACCAAGAGGTCCTCTATCCGTGCTTCAAGAAGGATTAAATAGAATTGCTGGTAGTTCTATACCACCTCTTAGAATGCCTCATAGTGTTTCCTGCATAATTTCGTATTTGGAGCAGCAAGTTTTAATTTCAAAAGCACTTGGTAGTTCACAGGAATACGTCCATTGGTTAATGGCTTTCGTATCTTTTTTATGTACTCATGGTACGATTTTTAAATAAGCTTTTAATAAACAAACGAAGAATAATCACAATTTAGATTTAGAATATACTTTGAAACTATTCAAATACTTTACAAGAAAACCTTGTGTTATATTACACATTTTTCTATTAAAATATTATATATATATATATATATATATATATATATATATGTAATATATATATGTAATATATATATATATATAATATGATTATTCATTTAATTTTTAAGAATTTATAAATTTTAAAGATGCATGTAAAATAAAATTTCGACTAAAACTTTCAGATGGTCTTGAACATCGATTAAGGATAATATTGGATGATCTCATGGGTCCGAGTCATAGTTCTGCAAATAAAAGTAATTGGGACTCTATGATTTTGGTAACTTGACAATTGATTATATAATTATACGTATTAAATATTTACCTAAATTTGTATTACTATATTATGCGATTGTATTATTTTTAGGGCATTAAAAAACATAAGCTTTTAGAGGACATTTTGAAAATCCTTTCTACTCAATTACGGTGGCAAAGATTATACCTTGAATATAATGAACAATTAGAGGAATTAAAAAAATTATGAAAAATGATGGAGAATTATATATATTTTCGATGCAGCGGATATTTTGGATCAAGCAATTTGTATATTTCACGTAACTGTTAATGATAAAATAAGACTGTACAGAGTTTGATATGAATGAATAAATTATTTTTAATTTCTATGACTGGATCACTTTAAATGTTTGTATGTAATCAAAGGAGAATAAATTAAGACTTTTTATTTTTAAATGACTTTATTTGTTTTGAATAATATTATTATTCATAAATTATAATTTTATCATATTTATATACAAATTCTAAGGCTTCATTTGTTTATTTTTATAATATATAATCAAGCTCGTCGCACAATTAGCTGATTTATGAATTGAAGAGACAAATTAATAATATAGTATTAAAGACTTGAAGTCGATCAAACTGTGCGTTTTAATTTTTTTTATTGTTATTGTTGTTGTTGTTGTTGTTGTTGTTGTTGTTGTTGTTTGCAAATATTTCTTGCATATAAGACACATTGTACAGAATGTTTAGCATGATAGCTTAACATTGAAATATTAAGACATTGCAACAAATGGAATAGCACCGTTTTTACTAACTTATTGTCCACTCAAATCTGTTTTTTTTTTTGTTTTGTTTTTTATTATTACTGATTAAATAAAATAATCGTTTAAACTAATAATTCACAAATACTAATCTCAAACAATACTTTAAATTTTAATTATTAATATTAGTTTATTAATTCTTAATTCGAGATTATAAAAAAATTATAATTATATCATTGGAAAACTTTTCTCTTATGAAAAAATTATATTTTTCTTATTTTTGTATATAAAATCTGTACAATTTTTTACTTTTCTAATATTTCTTGCATATATTCCACAATTATTATCTCGTACACAAATAATAATAAACATAATAAATATTCTCGATTTTAAGTTCTTGGTCCATCGTATATCGTCTCTATATATACAAAACGTCCCATGCAAAATAAGTATTATATATATTACTTGATAGATGTGCGCGCACATCTTTAAAATATATCCATCCTTACAATTACTTCTCGTTCACTAATCAACTCCTGTACAAACTATCAAATAATAATTGCTATTTCACTTTCTCTTCCATCAGTATATTGTTGAATAAATATTATGCATAAAATATTTAATTCTCTTTTAGAGAGGTGGTGGTCCGTTTGGATATTGAACAAGAGGCGTGAAACCTCTTGCAAGGTTATTAGAGAACATACAACTGTAATCTTCTTCGACGGAGGGTACTAAAGAGGCAGCTCCAAGTAATACTAGCATTAGAGCTTGAATTGGAAGAGAAGCTCGTAATACCCTTCCGATGAAGTGATACCCTCTTGTTAACACTGTCTGATTTCCATCCTCAACACTGAAACATCAGTTGAAGAAAAAAATTTAATGATTAATTGGAGTGTCTGTGAATTCAAATAGTATGGAATTTAAGTAATCAATTATAATTATAGAATATGGTTTTATATCTAATTATTCGTAACTACTTTTATATGTAAATATATTAAATTGACTGCTTATAAAGCAGTTAAACATACTTTGCAGAGTTTATACTTTGAGCTTGAGCGGTTCCAGTAGCAGCATCATCGAGTAACTACAATTTAACAAAAGAAAAACAAACTATAAAATACTGTGCAAGTGAAGACTATAAACAAAAAATACAAAATACATTAGAATTACATTTTTATGTGCTCTCGGTGCAATTGTGCATCATGTTTTTTTTTTTTTTTTTTTTTTTTTTTTTTTTTTTTTTTCATAAGAGTATTTTTAAACGTCTTCTTTGAATATATTTAATTGTTTTTATACTTTATGTATTCAAATCAAATTTTGGCATAGATATTTTACAGTGAATGTATGAAAAAAAATTTAATTTGAAATTAAAATACTCCGTACTAAAGGACTTGTTTGATTAAAAGTTTTATAATCTAATGCATATGCACTAATGCTTCGATATCACAAATTCTACAATATAATTGTGCTTATTAATAAATTTTAATCTTAAAGATAGAGTAAATCTCTAGTGCTAGTCATTAAATATTAGCAAATACTAGTAACTATGTAGATAATAATTATAATACACATGTTTACAGTTGTAAGCCAAGGTGAAAGTCAGTAATCGAGAACAAATAATAACTTACATCTTGAGAAAGAACCGCGAGTGAAGTGACTGCAGCCGCTAATCCAACGTCTTGTGGATCGACACCAAGAGTGGAGCCTAATTTTAAAATATACATGTTTGTTAGCCTCTTCAAGGACTGCAATCTAATCTTCAGCTCTTTAAGTTTCTCTCGAACATCGATATGTTCCTCCAGCAAATGATTTGCAATTTCTTGCAGTGAAAGCACTCTCGGTTCACATCGCTCCAAATCTTCTTGCATTTCTCTGTGAAGCAAAATTTTACAATGATAAAATGAAAAAATTAAAATTAATTAAACAATTGCGCGCGCGCGTGTGTGTGTATCAGATTAAAGTACCTCGCGATATCTTAATAAACAATCTATAATTACTGTGATTCAATAAATGACACTTAAAACATTAAAAAATACTCACTTAAATGTATCATATTTGGTTTGTAAAATATTATGGCTCTCGGTGAGATCGATTGGTTCACTAGAGCGGATACTTTGCTCAGTGTTTTGCAACCACACCAATAATTCTTCTACGATCCTGTGGAATTGTTGATTGCCAATAAGGGCGGCTTGTAGGGCATTTTGCCACCTGCCAGCCGTTTTGCAGACTTCATTCCACCTTAGCTTGGCACTGGCGAGTCTGTCCCGCAGATCATCCGCTTGTTGAATATTTTCCGTGTGATCAGCCAAATGCTCGCCGACAATATTTAAGCTGACGATAATACTTTTGTGACTATCCAGGTCCAATAAGAATTCGTGGTGATCTTGAATAGCGTCCTCGAGCTCTCCAATGTCCGATGATGGTGTAAGCTGCTCGCATTGCGTACCTTCTGCATATTCCAACCATTTTTCCAGACGCCAAAGATCGTTATCCAACTGAGCCCAGTTGCGATTTGAGCAAAGGGGACAAGTTAACCGACCACTCTCACTAAAAATTCAAATAAATATTATGAATATAATATTTCAAATTAAAATTTCCAAATTATCCTATTCATTAATTAACCAAGAGAATCAGTGGTACTTTTTAAACAACTAATTTTAGATTAATTAATTTAACTGTCCGAGTAAGCTTCTGATTTTTATTTTATAAACGAATTATTATTATATTATTATATGTGACGTTCTCCAGACATTTATTGAAAATATTATTCATATCATTATTTTATGAAACATATATATATATATATATATATATAATATATGTTATGCACAGTATTATATAATTATATTCAATATATTTAATATATATATGTAAACGTAATCATCTGAATTTAATATTAATTTATTTCCAGTTTCTCTATTTTTTTTTCTTTTTTCTTTTTTTTTTTTTTAATGTGTGGAAATATTTTGGATTGAAACGAGCTTATATTGAATTATTGAAAGTAGCTTTTTCAATCAAACTTTTACCAAATATCTTTTCCAATTCAATAATTTGATGTGCTGATATGAAAAACATGAAAAATTTATCTAGTAAATTAATTACTTTATAAATTGATATATGGAGCAAATCTTGTTGAATTTAAAGAAAATTGAAAAATAATTACTTCGTTATGAAAAATCAAATATGCTACTTCGTAAATCGTATAGTGAAAACTATTTCATAACTTATAATTAATATACAAACAGCTCATAAGAATTCATGCGTGAATATAATATTGGTTTTATTCTTATCAATTCATTTAAATTAATTAATTATTTCTATTTTATAGCACAAAATGCCACTTACCGACTCGATATAATCCACAGAAGCAAACTATGTTTAAATATATATATATATTGCATTAATGGTTACTTCATAATTTCGTAATTACATAATTTATATTTAAATTATTATTCTTTGAATGAAACCTTTTGTTTTTAATAATTTTTGTCATTTTACAATAAGAATGTTGATATAACTAGGCAGATTATTAAATATCTATGTACGTATAGCTAAGGAATGCATTAAATACGAGTTAAATCAAAGCATTAAGTCAAAGGATAGTCGAATTACATTACCAGCTTACGCATTTATTTCTAATTTTGAAAATGATTAGGAATTAGGAATTAATAGTTTAATTGAGAAAATGTTTTAATTAAGTTACGCCATATCAAGATTCAAACCATGAGAATAATAATTAGTTATTTTTTTACTTATAACTATGAGTCTCTAAATATGTAATACAATTATTATAAAAATATTATTTAAAGTGTGTTATTAAATTATTAATATAAATAAAAAGCAAATAGCCTGTCTACACTCACTGTTCGCAAGGGAAGCAATAAACACCAGCCAAGGGAAACCTGCAGGGATTCGAATGTAAATGTGTTAGTAAAATTAGTATTAGTATTTATAATTACATAGAATTTATAAAATACAGATATACGGATATATATATATATATATATGATTATGTTAAAATTAATAACTAAGTTATCTAGCGAACTATAAAATTATCAATTATATGTAAAAATGTACTGTAATGGAAATGTTAAATGATAAATATTACATGTAAACAAGCATATTACATAACGTTAAAATTATGTTATATAAATACGAATATTATAACTGTATTATAATATTTTTTTAGGTTATTTATACAGATTATAAACAAATAATATATTACTTACTTTAATTCACGGATTTGTTGTTCTCGATGTCGTGCCTTTTTCAAAATATTCTCATATCGAGTTACGAGTTCGGTAACTTCTGCATTTTTGTCAACTTTTTTCTCTTCGGATAAAACATTATGTAAATGTTTAACAAGTTCTATCGTTGACTGACAGCATCCGATTAATTTTGCCTACATAGAATTTAAATTATTTCAATTTTTCATACTTTTATGATTGAAAATTATTATTCTTAACGTCTTATTTTTTAATATATATATATATATATATATATATATATATATATATATATATAAAGAATTTTTTATATAGTCATTATTTCTTATAAAATTCTTTGATTTATACTTGAATGTATACAAATATTACTTCAGCTAACAGAATAAAGAAACCTCTCACTTGAAATATAATCAAACAAATAGAATCATAATATATAATTTAACTTAGTTGCTACTCTTTTGTCAATACATAAATAGTTTAAATAAACTTTTGAACGTACTTATTAATGAGTTTCATCTTATTTAAATAGCAAATATATATAATAAGAATTAGTTTGATACGGGTGGTTTCAATGAATATAAAATAATAAGAAAATAAAAAAAGCTGCATAAATTAATAATACGAATAAAAAATTCGCAATAAGTAACTTACAATATTTCGTGCAGATGAGGAAAGTCCAGCTCCTGGAGTCGGCTCCGGTAAAGCTGCACTTTCAAGAGCATCCAAAGCCACCCTACACTCGCTAATTGCTGACTCCAGCTCAAACAAATACGCATCGGATGCCGTCATCTTAGCGAGTTGCGGCAACGTGTCCACTTGCACAGCTGTGTCCTTTTCAAATTTAAGCGTTTCCACTTGGACGGCCTCGTCAACTTCCTGGCGTTCTTCAGCTTCAATTTCGGCACGTAGTTTATCGATACGTTGTTTGATGTCTTTCCAAAGCAGCTGATACTCGTCGACAAGTTGCTGAATATCAGCTACGTCGTTCGGGTTTGCTTCACTCATCACTCGAAGCGCTAATTCATCTGCCTGGCGTAAAATTACAATTTTGTTTGACAACTCGGACTCAATATCGTTGAGTTGCTGAAGTCTTGATAGAGGTGAAACTTCTTGCTCGGGCGTTGTAAGATGCTGAAACTGTGTGAGCATCACATCAATTTGAGTCAAACCGATTACCGCGGCACCGTGCGCCGAGATGAATTCGTGGTAGATCTTCTGGTTTTTTTGTAAGGCGGCTATGATTGTGTCGATCATCCGAGTCAGGCCATGCCATCTATTACATAATAATTATTGCGTTAATGTATACAATTTTTCAAATATTTCGTAATTAACAATGATTATTATTCGCATTGAATTATAATAATAAATTATTTCAATCTTATAGATTACCGTAATTTTAAGCTTCGTGTATTTTAATTAATAGGCATAACTATCATTTAGCCCTTATACGCGCGTAAAAACTAATTTAAGTAATATATTGATCATTAATTATATTCAATAAACTTCTGACATAAAACTATTGGTTAAAAAACAAAAACAAAACAAAAAACTCGAAAATAACAAGCAAAGCAAATAATTAAAATATAGATTTTTCTATCGTTTTTTTTTTTTTTTTTTTTTTTTTTCCCCGGTTTTTTTTTTTTTGTCGCGTGATTTTAAATTTCATTATGCTATGTGATATTAATTTTAGATAAAAAATCATCACAGATTTTATATAATCATATTAATTATACAAACAATTTTATGTGAATTTTAATCGAAAATATTTCAACTTGCCTATCTATTAGCTGCCTAGTTGGCATCGTTAACGATTTCAAATTGTCCGGTTCCAAGCCTCCCTTCGCTAATCGACTGTAGCATTGTTCGAGTATTTGTAATGCAGGTTGCCGAGCTTTAACGTCCTCTAAAATTCTTTGAGCTCGATCCATAATTTTCGCGTTATTCTGATTTGACAGATCGGCTGGATTTACTTCTAATTGCTGTAATTCTTTTTCCACCTTTTCTAACCACATCTCATGCTCGTGCCCCAGGTCATCTAGCTCTACAAGTAATTTACCCGTTAATATAATGCTCTGCTTGCGCTCCGATAACTTAACACATATCGCTTTCCATCTTCGCTCTAAACCTTCCATTCCGCTCTTAATAGCATCAGTATTAAATGAAGCCTTACAGGTGTCACAGTCATTTAATAATGTTTCACAACGATTTAGCACTTCAGCAATATTACTACTTTCGACTTCGATAGACTTATGAAATTGTTCATGGTCTCGTAATTTATTATCAATTGTAGCTTGATTCACCGATTCGATCGTATAAGGCTCGGATATTTGAATTTCTAGCGAACTAAGCCAAGTTCTAATTTCCGCCAGTCTCTCTTGAAGCGTATTCATCGTTTTCATTAAATCAACCATTTTGTTTACTCGCGACTTTCCAGCCGTTAACAAACCCTCCCAGCTGTCATTTATCTCCTTCAGACTCGTCTCTAGTTTCTCTTTTTCGCTCGGCTCAGCTAGATTCGCTAGTTCAAGTCCATTATTCCGCACCCAGTCGAATTCTCGTTGCTTGAGAGCTACTTCCGCCCGAACCTCACCATCCAAACGCTTTAAAGCTTCTTCAGGCTCATCCAAATTTGGAGTATCGCTATTGTGAATTCTATTCTCGGTATCTTTTATCCAAACCAATAATCTCGCAGACCTGCTTTCCCAACGCGAATGCCAAGTGCAGCGTTCACCGAGTTTGTAAATCAGTAAAGCTAATTGATGCTCAAGATCGCCATGTTGCTGCCAAAGCAAAAAACTCTGTTGATTAAGTGATTTCATATCCGATGGGCTAAGGCACTCTCTAAGTTGCTCTGTAATTACTCCCAAAGTCTCCAAATCCGTTGTGCAAGTGACTAGTTTAGTTTTATGCTGCTGCAGTGTGTCCAAGTTCTGGCGAATTTCCGTCAAATTGCCAGAATTTATCTTAGAAACTGTAGCAATGGCTCGATTAGTTTCGTAAAAGATTTTTGTGATTTTAGCAGTTTGCTCGATATGTTTATCGTTTAATGATTTTATCCTTAGAACGAATTCCTTCCACGTTTCTAGACTGGCGCGAATATTAGAAATACGTTGCATGTTTGCGGCATGCTCCATTCGTACCGAAACGGCCACCGCTTCATCACAATTTCTCAACAATAATTCCGGCTGCCTCTGTAAAGCATCAGTCTGCGATTCTCCACTGGGTATTTTATCCAAAAGGGCTTCGATTCTTTGCAAAATCTTGTCGAGCCGTCGTACATGAATAAAGCGCAATTGTAATCTGCTACGTTCCTTATCGATGTCTTTAAGCCACATCAATAGCTTACTCTGATCGATTCTGTAGCCTTCCCAACTGGCTAGCCTATTATCAACAGCAGCGTGTCTCTCCATTATACGCGTTAGGCTTTCGTTATGGACATTCGTAAGAGCATTAAATTGTTCGGTAACTGAAAGATCTTTGCCATCTTCCGAGCGCACCGTTAAAATAAGCTTCTGTTGGTCCGTCAAAAGGTTCTTGTGCACCTCGCAAAGATTGCGATCCTCCGAGAGACCGCTGTAGTCGCCAGGTAAATTGCTGGATAGAAAATCTTGCACGTAAGCAAGGTACTCCTGCCACAGTCGTAAAGCTGCAGCAACATCTTGAGAGCGAACAAGTCGAACTGATAATCGATGGTATTGCTGAAACGTCTCGCGAAAGACTCGTTGCCAAAGCTGGAGAACCTCCACTATCGATGGTTCCCGCGTCGGACTAATTTCAAGAGCGCGTTCCTTTATTGAATGAAGCTGCGGCTCTGCACGACTCAGAGCAAGCAGGTGGCTACGTAAGAGTTGAAGCTGCTCCTTTGATTCGTCCCGATCCACTGGTAGGATGCTCTGTAAAAAAGAAAAAAAATTAAAACAAAATTAGTTGCATAGGTAATACATACCAATAGATTAACAAAATCTTAAAATATTCGTAAATGCATTTCATTAACATATAACATGATAAAATTTCAGTAACAAACACATACATTCTAATATTTATAATAACATTTATCTATATATTTTATTATTATTATTGTTATTATTATTATTATTATTATTATTTTTTATTATTATTATTATTATTATTATTATTATTATTATTCTTATTATTATTATTATTATTATTATTATCATCATCATCATTATTATTATTATTATAGAAATGAAAATTTTTATATAGCATTCGATATTTTTGATTAAATAAATATCGCGTACAAGTAAGATTCTATGTTTTGAGTTATATTGCCCGTATATAAATTTAAATTAAAGCTATACTAAATTATGAACATATAATTAATTGAAAGAATTATTAATTATTAAAGCCGTTTCGACGTTTATTAGTATATTATTATTATTGAGTATTTTTATCTGCGAACGTATACGTACATTCAATGTTATGAAGTGAAATTTAATTTTGTAATTTTATTATATTCAATTTTGTTATTCTATTATGCATGAAAATAACAATAATGATAATAATAATTATATACAATTGAGAAATGAACGAAGCAAATTTGTTTGGGATAGATTATAATCGTACTCACTAATATTGCTTATTTATGCATTAAAAAGTCTAACAGCGTGGTGACAAATACATATTATATTCATTAATTAAAAAGAAACTTGTTTCTCATTATTGTTATGTACATCTAAATTACTTTATTATTTATTATTATATTAATTTATTGTAATTTTATATTAGGATATCGAGACTATTCGTAATCATAATTTAGGGCTGAAAATCATAGAAAGAGAAAGCGAAAAAGTTTGCCATAAAGAAACATCATATGGATTACATGAAAAAAGTGTAACATGTTAGTATTTTAAAACGCGTGTGATTAAAGCGAAATGTAATATTTTTCTCGATAAGAACATTTATAGTCACATTTTATTCTTTATAAATCCTTATTATTAAAGTACACTCGATTAAAGAAATTTTTTATTTTACAAATTAATTTCCTTTGTTTGGCAATACTTGAAAGAGCTGTTTTTTTTTTTTTTTTTTTTAATTGGATATTATAATCATCATTAAAGTATTGCCAAACAAAGCAAATTAATTTGTAAAATAAAAAATTATGGCTGTAAATGCAGTCCTAAGCCCTAATTATTTGACAGTAACAAAATCAATGCATATTGTTATTTTCAAGAAGCGTTTTGGAAACGCTCACGACTGCAGGAAGAAGTTGATTATCGTACAATCGGTGCAACGCACAAGCATCGCCTCAAACTCCCTTCCGACAATACTCGTGAATATAAGAACAGGGGGCGGGCGCATTTAGCACTTGAATAAGTCGTAGAAGCTTTTAGGGTTGAGAAAGCTGCCACTCGGCAGAACCATGCAAGTGGCTCATTCAAGCTGTACTGGCATTTAGGACTGTTGTGGGTGGATTTCGTGACTGATGCAATAAGGCCCGGCTTTACAACCTTGACACAACGAAATTGTTTTGCCAACTACAATTAAAATATAAACGCAAACGCAAACGTAAGCTCGCGCGATGATTGGCTTGTGCCAAATCCAACTGCTCTTGACACTTACTATCCACTGTCCCTCTTTCCTTCCCTCTTACACGATTATGTTTCTCTCGTATATAGAATCTCTCCTATATATCCTAATGCACAAGAGTTTAATGAATAGGTAATATTTTTAAATTTTCCTTCCCGTTAAGTTTTAATTTGCTAAGAATTAATATCGACGATGATTAATTGTTATAAAGTAATACGATACGATAAGCTCGAACTTTCCTTCATTATGCAGGATATTTTCAACGAAAATTGCTTATTTAGTTTTATAATTTATTAATACAAAAAAAAAAAGAATATATATATATATATATAAATAATTAATATTACAAATAAATAAATAATGCACTCTATAAATCTATGAACTTTATGTAGAAAATTATTGATATACATTATTGTATAAGAAATTAATAAATTGTAATCAAAAAGATAAAAAAAAATAAAATATATATATATATATATATATATATATATATATCAATAAAACTGTTATCTATATAACATCAAAACATTATTTTTATTTGTAAAATAATAATAATAATAATAATAATAACAATAAGATTATGATCACCATTATCTATATGGCAATTAAAAATTCATTATAAATATATTTTGATAACAGAGTATTATTTTCAATGATCTTAAAATTTAAGTAAATTTGATCCAATAAATTGAAGATTGATTCCATAAATTGATGATACTCCATACATCTCATCACCGACTACGTAATCATTGATATGAAGGAATTACTAGACGAGGCTGTATATTATATACGAAGGCTACATAGCGTGGAGGCGGAAACAATCATATTTAAACGGGTCAACCTTGAGGCATTAAACGTTCCGAATCATTTTCTTCGTGTTCGGCACATGGCACCTCGATTTATGGAGAGCAAGGTGAATTCTCGACGGCCAAAGCCCTGTTTTGTTTTGTTTTGTTTTTTTTTTTTCAATTTCGAATCAAGCATATTTAACAACGATTGCAATATTTTGTTAAATCCCGTACCAATTAAGAACTTGTCTTTAAAAATATACTATATTGTAAATACGCAAATTGGTGATGTTTGGGATATAGTAAATGAGCAATCGGTAGAAATCAAAGCGAGTAATGCATTTTTTATTTATTCTTTTCGGAATAAAAGAAAATAGTTATAATTTATAAGAGATACGAGAAAACTTTTGCTTTTATGAAAGCATGTTTTATAGACATAAACGTTTCGTTAAAATGATCAAAGTAATATAAATTTATACGAATAAAACTTGTTTCATAAACCTGCATTGCGAGGAAGAATTATTTTGAAAAATCATTATTTTTACATTTTTAAGCCTTGCATCGAAAGACTAAATTTTATCAAAATAAATATATTTTTATTCATTGGCTTACACAAACTTGTATATTTGCATTAATGAATTTAAAAAAAAAAAAAAAAACTAATTGAAATTACACCATCAATAGAATTACCAGCTTATTATTATTATTATTATTATTATTATTATTTTTTATTATTAACAATACAGCTTTATTTATCGAATTAATATTTTCATACAATACAGCTTTATTTATCGAATTAATATTTTTAATAATGATTTATTAAAAATAATTATATAATGAATTATATATTGAATTTTGAATAATTGTATATCGAATGTTAAATTTAGTTTAGAATTAGTTAAAACTTTCTATAAATAATATATAAACTCGAATATAAACTAGAATAAACATTCCGTTAAAGGTGTACATAAAAAAAAAAAAAAAAAAAAAAAAAAAAAAAAAAAAGAGGGAGAGAAAAAGAATTATCCTTTATCCTTTGTTTATTGATTATAATCTACATAATACAACGGTAGATAATAACATCCAGTAAAGCAAAGCAAATGTCTATTTGCAATTAATTTTTCAATAAAATATGATATCATTATATATCTTATTATTTCAATAATAGTCTTTCATAATAGTTTTTCATATACTGATAATTTTTACTATTTTTTAAAATGAATAATTTCGTTTTATTATATTAAATTAAACTTAAAATCGTATATTAAGTACTTTGACATTATGCTATCGGCTCTTCTTATGTCAATTATTGCGATATAGCTTATAGAGTATGAATAGTATTTCCGTTTACGGAAGAGTGGATTAAAAGTCATATTAATAGTGATAGTCAAGCTAATATGTATAAACAATTATATAGAATTGAGTAATTTAATACCTCATTGTTTGCAAATGATGTAGAATTATTATTTGATTGAATATAGAGAGAAATGTGCTAAAAAAAAAAAAAAAAAAAAAAAAAAAAAAAAAATATTTTTAAGTAATTCGTAAATTCAATAAGCATTCGATCGGATAGAAAATAAATCCATCCTCGTCACAGGTATCACACTACTGTAGAATAATGTCATTATGTTAATGCCAATGCGATATATCTTACCTGGTGCACGGAATCAAGGAAATTCTTTGTCTGACATATGTCGGCCAGGGCAAGTTCTTGATTAAGAGCTCTGGCGTCTGCGGTGTCGGCCAATGTAGATAGAGTTTCGCGCATATCTTCGAGACGTTGACCGAGAGCTTCGATATCGCTCTGCAGTGGCCCACCCGCGTCCAAACCAACGTCCGAAGCGATTTGCGCTACGAGGCCGCGCAATTCAGCCAGTCGTTCCTTGTGCTCTGCCAGAGTATCCTCACAAACCTACGACATCCAACATACAATATTTTACTTTCTCACCATTACGATAGATAATTAATAATGATTATTGCCGTTGGCCGTGATGATTACGGTGTTATTTGGCGTTGTTATGATTATTTGCAAAGCTTGGAATTATAATTCAATATTTTAGAAAAGGTTCGTTAAAATCTTCTCGTTAAAATTATGTAAATATGCATTACTATATATGCATACTAAGTATACATGAATTTAGTCCAATTTCTGCATGCAGCGGAAATTGGCAAATACTTTTTACTATTCAAACTTGAAATTTTATTATAAATGTCTCAGTTTACTATGTTATATATTTAATTTTCATTAAAGACGTGTCAAACTTTATTTCTTCATGCATTAAATGATATTTTACTTTAATTACAAATGTTGTTAACATATAATTTCTTCGTATATTCGAATTATTTTATAATATTATTTTTTAAACGTACATATCTCAACAAAAAATAATTATCAAAGATCAAATCATATATTAATTTGCTTTAATAAATATGTCGATGTAAATAAAGATTAAATACATTATATCAAAAGATACGATTAAAATTATGATTAAACTTCAATTTTTCATTTATTTCATATTGCTTGTGTTTGAAAATTATAAAAGAAATTGTACTTCTAAATTTGTACAAATTTTTAAATTACAAATTTTTAAATGCCAAAAACAAAAAAAAAACTAGTAATTGGACCACACATATCCACTTTCACATTCTAATTATTAAAATCAACGCCGACAATACTGTAAGTAGCTATAAAAGTTAATTTACATAAACCAGTTTGTATTGATTCAATTATCAAATTCGCTGTAAAATAAATTTCCAGGAATAATTATTATGCAATTGAAAATTTAAAAACGTCCTTATTTCGGTAGGAATTTTACTATTAACCTCGAATAACTTTGCTAAAGCTATATAGAAAAATCGATTTTCCCATCTTCTGCTTATTTTCCACTATATTAACTCAAACGGTATACATGCACAAAAAAACAAATAAAAAAAATATTAATACATGTATTTCAGATATAATAAAAAAAATATTATTATATAATAATCTTTTTAAAAGACGAAATAGAATTTTCTAACAGACTTTAAAATTAAATGAGTTCTTGAATTGAATATACATTATTTATAATAATATTTTACGTTCATATACTTAAACAATATTCATATTCCGGATTTTTAATGAAAATTACATTTACTTAGAATATATTAATATTAGAAATTATTAACCTTATTAATATGAATTTATTTTAATTATTACTACAATAATGTTTGATGTTTAACATTATTATTCTTCTATTAAATCAAATCTTTGATACTGTATTATAAGGTTGTCGAATGAAAGTATTCATTATATTATCTAGGACGGATAAACTTTATAATTACTTCTATTATTTATTTGTACTTGCAGGTCAATTAACATCTAATACAACCGCATATCACAATATAATTTATAAAAAATATAAATACGAATGATTATATTAAAATAACTATTTAATTGTAGAAATACATATTTATTATTCTACAATTAAATATATGAATTACAAATCATTGTTAGAAGCATTAATAATTTATTTAGATAAATTATCAAGATGTTAAATAATTATTAATTATTAGAATTTTAAGACATTATTTATTTATGATAATATATGATATTCGATTATTTGTGCAGAATTTATGGCAGGAATCGAATATTTAATAATATTCATTAATGAAATTAATAAAAACAAATTATGAGATTGTAATAATTCATAAAGAATTAATAAACTTTCATCGCCAAGAATAAGGTTAAATTATTGAAACAATCCAATTAATAACATATTATAATATATTACAACTAACCATTACTTAAAATATGTAGATAGACGCTTTTAGGTTTCTTATGCAGACCGTAGAGACACATACGAAAATAAAAAATAGTTTAAGAATAATCCATGATCACATTCTACTATTTGTATAACATATCACATAGTGCGTAAAACATATAAATAGCTATGAATATCGAATGAAAAAAAGACTATTTTAATATTATTCTCAACTCCAGACATAATCTTATAAATAACATTATAGCATTCAATATTTTTTGGGAATTCATTATCGTATAGTAGAAATTATATTTATATTATTTGATTTAAATTAAGCTTAAGAACAAAATTATTTAAAATGCGAAAATTTTTGAATACTAATATTATATAATCACATTATTTTTTAACGGTATTACTTAAATAAATTTATAGAATGTCAATCATATGTATTACAAGCGTCACTTTAACATTTTCCCCGTAAAGAAAATAGAAGAAATAGCAACTCACTGAAACTCAAAAATTGATTGGACCAAGGTTTTCTTACGCACGTGTTTACATTTTAGCAATTATTTTTAAACTTTCATTTTCGTGTATATCTGGCCAATGTAAAAAGATTGCACAAACATTCAATTCACAGCGAGAATGAACTTGAGAATAATTTTTGATGTTTTAAACAGCGCACAAATACACAAATTATAACATATCTGACATTGACGTGTCGCTTATTAGAGCTTTTCTCACTCTTCCTCTCTCTCTCTCTCTCTCTCTCTCTCTCAACCCCCTTTGTATATAAATTGAAGTAAGAAAAATATCTTTTTCCTTGCTTGTTTTATTCTTTCACTACCTCCTTTGCACACATATATACAAGCACATATACACTGTCACTCTGATTTCTTTTGTTTGTTTCAAAACAAATGCTAAAAGATTAAATTATACATGAAAGTACGAAATTTTTTATAGTATACAAGTATATGTTAAATTCCGTATTTTTTATTATTAAAGAAATAGCGTGGATTATTCGTGAATCACGAAAATTTTTAAATGCTAACTTGAGAGATAAAAACTGTTAAGAGTATAATAATAACATGTATTATGAGATAAGTTTTACATGCCTTTAAACTTTATTTTTCAATTTTTAACACGAGCGCGCGTATTGATATTTGAACATAAATGTATTTTTACTTAAAATTCTAACGAATATTATATCAGTTTTGCTTTTTATTCGTAGTTTGATATATGCACATTAAATAAAATATGCTAAATCAACTAAATTGAAATATTTGCAAATTGATATTTATGACATTTATTGCTTTGAATGGAATTATTATAAAATCGAAATCAAATAATGATGAGATATGTTTTATTTAAAACTTAATGACAATATGCATTTAAATTAAAATACAATGACAGTGTAATCTAAGTAAATGTATTCTATTAATATTGTTAATTAATTGCGCATATGTCTGTTCAATTATTTTACTTATTTTTCGCAATATATTAACAAAACATAATTAAATAATAGTGTATTAATAATAAAATTTTCCTCTAAAAGTTTATCACATTTTTTAATAATGAAACATATAGAATATGTATATATATATATACGCATATATACACACATCATGAAGCTTCATAAATTTAGAAAAAGTATTTAATCCAAAAATATTATTTTCTATTGAATTATTTTTAATTACTATGAGATTTATTTTGTAAATTAAATTAAATTAATATAATATATAAAAAAAAATATAAATAAAATGATTACAATCTTTATACATTCTAGGTTGTTGCTTCCTATATATTTTAAACTATACTTTATTTGAATCATAGATGATACCAAAACACTAAACATCAACAATATACCATAGAAAAATTAGAAGAGAATTCAAATTATTCTTCTTCCTAGTTTATTTAAATCTGTCATTTATAATTTGTCATTTTATATTGATAGTACAGTTATTAAAAAATTTTCTAACATAATCAGACATATGTATTTTTGATGATTTTCTGTCGAATTGTTTGTTTAAATCTTCATGTTATGTAAAAAGTAACAATTAATTCAATTCTCTTGAAATTTTTTTTTCTTTTTATAATTTTATTTTTATAATTATTAATAATAAAATTAATAGATTATTCATTTTTATGTAATTACTAATACGACATAATTAGTATTGTAATTAATCGTAATCATTATAGATAATAGATAACTATTTATGGATTATCGATAGAAATTAAGTCATCTTTTTAAAAATATAAAACTTTAGTAATTTTTTTTTGTTTTGTTTTTTGTTTTTTGTTTTTTGTTTTTGCTTTTTATACTTTATGCAACATGTAATGATAAGAAAAATAGGATAAATAAAGAATTTCTAATGAATTAAGAGGCTTTATTTTGTTTGCTAATATTATGCCGATATAGCAAATTATATCCGAGTAATAAAATTAATTCTTAAGAAAAACTAGTGCAGTAGGAATGAAATAAACTGATGGGAAGAATGTTTGAACAACGCACTGAAAATATTGCTAAATATTGCATCGAGCAACATAGAAGTTTGAACTTGTACTTTATAGGCGATGGTCGAACGACATGATTAAACATGATTGGGGAGGTGAATGCAAATGTCATCGGAGTCTTATTTCTCACCCTAATCTCCTCCGGTGTACACATACTAGTTAGCTCAATGTTATCGACACTGGCAATCAATTTTCACCGGCTCTCAAGGAGAAGCTCCCGCACGTGGACGCGAGCCTGTAATAAACACTGGTAGTGCGTGGCTCTCGAATTCTGCTTTGTGTTCTCTTGCGGGATTTTAAAATAGATCAGCAGCGAATCGACGAACCGTCATGGCCGCAGAAAACCCTTCGCCTCGTGTGCTTGCAAAAGCTGTTTGATTTTTAGGTTACGGTTGCGCGCGCGGTATAACGTCGCTGAATCCCCGTGACACAGCGAAAAAATCCCAGCGTCTCTTGGATATATGGGCTTTGGTGTCCGATTTTTACGACGCCAGGCATCGTTTAGTTATACTTTGATGTACGGATTAATGCGTTTATACTGACTCGCCGCCAGGCACATACACAAGGTATAAAGATGGTATACGAGCGAGCCGGCGTTTGTATATTTATTCTCGCTACTGATATTCCTAATGTTTGTTATTTTCCTTTAATATATATATATATATATATATATATATGTATATATGTATATATATATATATATATATATTTATATATATATATATATATATAGCATTAATTGACTTGACTTTGGTGATAAATATTTGGTGTTGTTGCAGCAGCTCCAAGCGTATCAAATTATTTTTACATTTCTGTTATTTACACAGTCTTCTGATCTGATTATTTAAAAAATAATACATAAATATTGTATCTACGCATACAATACAAATCATTCATACAGTCGACTAGGAATTCAGTTTCTGTGTTAGTTTACAGTTCACGTAACAAAAGTAATATTTATTACGGACGTATCGTTCGACCATTTCTATGCTCTAGAATTTTTTATACATTGTTCTAAGAAATTTCATTGATGATTATAGCGAAAGATTTCAGTCTTTGCATATTTGATATATGCTTTACTTTCAGCAATATAATATACGTGTACATAATCCTCGTGGAAAAAAACTATCTCGAATTCATATCATCCACTGACACTACACAATTGATAAACACGACATTTAACCGTAAAAAATGAGACTCTCATAATCGTGCAAAAGCATTTTTCACACGATATAGTATACATGAATTTTCGTGACGCAGAAATGAACATAACGTCGTTTCGATAAAGCTGTAAAGTCGAGGATTATTAAATGAAAGATAGGATATTCGAAAAAAAAAAAAAATGGTTTCTCCGGGATAAAAAAACAGTTTAACCCTTAATAGCCCGACACATCACATCGTTTGAGCTTAATCATCGCAACGTCCTGGACCATACTGGTACGGAACGCTAGAGCGTCTTTTCTCTCCACCGCTCTCTTTGTTTCTGTCTCCAGTTCGCACATAGAAAAGAAGCAGCAGCAGCAGCGATAGTAGCAGCGGCAGTAGCAACAGCAGCAGCAGCAGCAGCAGCAGCAGCAGCGACGGCGGCAGTAGCAGTAGCAGTAACAGCAGCAAAACCGAGGGGATCGATTCGCGTAAGAAAGCATACGCAGAGGGAGCGAGAGCAAGAGCACAGATGAGCAGAAAAAGGACAGCGAGAAAAAGAAAGAGAACATGACACTCCCTTTTCGCCGACAGTCATCTTTTGTCAGCGAAATCCGTCTAGTGTGAACACACAGTATCGTTCTAACCCGGAGTCATAGAACTCGTGTCACTAGATTTTTGTGGTACAGAGCAAGCGCCTTGTACCTTTTATCTCACTCATTCTCTCATCCCCACTCACAGAGATAAGCTCACGTTCTCTCTCTCTCTCTCTCTCTCTCTCTCTCTCTCTCTCTCGCTATCTCACTCTCTCATCCCCACTCATACAGATAAATTCATGCTCTTTCTCTCTCATCCCCACTCATATAGATAAGCTCACGCACTCTCTCTCTCTCTCTCTCTCTCTCTCTCTCTCTCTCTCTCTCTCTCTCTCTCTCTCTCTCTCTCTCTATCTATCTATCTATCTATCCATCTATCTATCTATCCATCTATCTCTCACCCACACCAATACAAATACACACGCATACATTAGCAAAGAGCCATACATTTCGTAAAATCAAGGGCGGTGACGTGGGCGGCTTTATATATATGTGCGCACCTCTGATATTCCACGCACCGGGGGACCTGATTTAGAACGACTCTCGTGAGATCACGGACGCACGATCCTTATAGATTATGCAAGAATTATTTTTAGTCAGTTTGTTATTCTTGTTGGCAAATTTTGGGGTCAACCACATCAATTTATACAAAAATGACGGTCCTTAATTATTTGCTATTTCCTTTGTTATATTTCGTAATTTCGTTCGTTCAACATATCATTTTTACATAATATATTAGAAAACGCTTGGTGTGATTTGTGAATTTTTATAAATAAATACATATCATTATTATATTACTCAAATTATGATAAAATAAAAGGCTTTCTTACATTATAAGAAATAAATTTGATAAAAATAAATATAATCACAATATTTCAAATGCACCCTTTACTTGTGTTATAGATTATAAACATTCTACACAGAATTATAAATTAATATTTAATTCAATTTTTAGTATTAGGCTGATGTGTCTCTCTGATGTGACGGTTTTGAAAGGTTTATAATTATACCAAATGTTTTCTATCTATTATTTTATTATAGTATTGCGTTTAACATTGCTTTAAACATTTATAATTAATTTAATATCGACTGCTTCGGAAAATATACTACGTTACGTCTTCTACAACATTATATAAATGCAATATTTGAACATAAGAATTTGATATTATATATTAAAGAGCAGAATGAGTAATTTTGTAATCTTTATGTCTCATTGTAAAAGACGTAGATCTAAGATAATTTGCTTAGACTATTCCACATTAACAAATCCAAGAAGGTACCACAAGAATTTATGGATAAAATTATATAATGTTGAGCTTTTTGTAATCTTAAAAAGAATTAGATTCATTGTTAAATCTTAAAATAGATAATAATAAATTTGCCTGCTTTCATTTACAAATGTATCTCAAGTTTCAACAATGTACTTTCTTACATATATTTGGCAAATATTTTTGCTATTAGTAATATACGTCAAGCATTTAAAATATTATCCTTAGATATATTGTGTTATACTTATACCGATCTTACAATGTTCAATAACTGAAATTAATAATGAATAACGACACAAATTATTCACAAATATTTATAGAGAAATTACTCAGCTTTAATATTATAGAAGATTGAATGCGTTTAAAGGGCAACGTTTAGAAAAATAAGAATTTGATTTATGCTTGTTTATACGTTTCAAAGAGATACGGGTATGTGCAGTGACCTTGAACATACCTTTATTTTACCTTATGGCAGGTAAACCACTCATCGTTCGTTACAGTACTTTAGCTCGTTCGTCACAACAACACGACTTATCAGTAATCGACAATTTCCATTACTTTCGGTTTAATTGAAATAATAATTATTAGCAACCGACTTCACTGAGTGACGAATCTTAACATTTGCTTGAAAAAGACTTTAATTATACCATAAAAAGATTCGAATCAGATAAAATTATTACGTATTCGCATTAAATGGCGTTTAATTTTTATTTCAATACTATTATTAATGAAATTTCGATACTTATTTGTTACAAGATTTTATAATATATGTTATATGGTTTTAAAAGTAGAATATTAATTTTTATTTACTTATTGACTTTTTTTTACTGATTTTTTTTTATTGATTTTTATTTACTTGTAGTTATTTAAATAATTCATGAAAACTATATTACAGATAGCTTTATGTTTCTCGGGAATCTTACATTGTAAATAGTTCTTGGGCACCTGTTTAAAAAAAAAAAACTATTTTACGTTCTCATTATCCTTATTTTAAAATTAACACTTGTTTATCTTGTTGAACGTAGTTTATTTGCTTTGCATCGATTACCCTCTGTTTTTACAATTGTAATTTCACAAATGCATTAAGAAACTCGAAAATAAAACGCAATTTTATTTCAAATGACATTACCGATAAAGCGATTATTAGTTACTTATATTTTAATATTTTCAAATATATTACATTTAGCATTTAGTTTTATTATCGAATGAAGAAAATTGATAAATCACAGCCATAAAGACACGTAAATGTGTGATTATGCTTATAATTTCATTTACATGTTCAATTTATATTTAATTATTTATAATGATAAATATACAAGACGATAAAAAGCAAATATAAAGAGTAAATATTAATACAAACATGAAATAATTATGAACTAACTATAATGGATAAATATTAAAAGTATGGAAATTCGTTTACTTTAGAATTTTATATAGCCGTTTTTAGCTTTTTTTCGTTATATTTATATAATAAAATATATAGATAAAAAAATCCATATTATGATTGATAAATGCAGGCGATCCATACAAATATTCGTTTATATTTCTAGCTTTATGAAGCAGAAACTGAAGATCCAATCCAATAATATTACTAATTTAAAGATTTATTTAAAATAATTATTTTCCTCTCATTGACGTTATATGAAATGATATTAATCTTTAGTTAATATCGTTGAGTTTATAGTGGCAAAAAGATCAAACTTAATTTAGTAAAGTTGATTGAATATTCGCTCTATCTCTATAAGTTGGGACGGCTTTTACTTACATTCCAGTATTTTTTTTTTTTGTTTTTTTTTTTGTTTTTTTTTTTGTTCACCCATACAATTGAAAAAAGATATTACAATACGATTAAAAATAAAATAAAATAAAATAAAAACAAAACAAAAAAAAAAAAAAAAAAAAAAAAAAAAGAAAAACACGCATAAGTGCATATGCATAATATTAGATAATTAGAACAAAAGTGTACTAACCTTAACTTTCTTGAGGACCTCTTCGGGTGGCAGATTGGCGACAGTGCCCATTTGTGTGTCGACCCAGGCCTTGACGGCGGCGCTAGAGTCCTTATATCGTTCCCACAGACTGACTGCGTGCTGATATTTGTTACAAAGAGCGCCCAACTCTGACTTTGTACTTTCCCAAGCCTGCACAGCCTCATTTACCACGGCGTCGATGCGCTCGCTGACTTCGTCCGTACAGGACTCACGCAGTGGCTCCGCTGCTGACCTCAGCTCGTTTATCAAGACTTCGCGCTCTATGAAGTTGCCGTTTAAGCCCTGCAATGATAATACCTTCGTATCAACTTTATTTTATTATTGAGTCCGTTAGTATGCTAGTTTAGTTGACTGAACAGCAAAATAATAAAATCATGTCTACACTTGGTCTTAAGGTTTATAGCCTACGGCTTAACTGCCATTTTATTGTTTGGAATTCGAGGGCTTACGGTATTGTTTATTTGCTTATGGAATAAATATTTTAGGATACTATCGAATGCCATCGTTTTCAAGTGACGGTGCCATATTTTATGATTTTTTACTCAACTCTGTAAGAACATCATTTATTATCAATAATCAATTACGATACGACAAGTCCATGATAGGAAAATTTAACCACGAGTATTCGGGTAATTTTATGGCAAGGCTATCATTCTATTTTGTAAAATTCGACTTCTTACGACTTATTTATACAAAATTTATAATGTAAGTTAACTTTTCCTCAAAACTGAAGAACGGTAAATAACGATTTTACAATAGTTTCCTATAGTATATAAAGAAAAAGTGTTAAACGTCTACAAATGGCTGTTAGATGTAAAAAATAATAAATAAAAAATCATAATGTATTACAATAATGATTTTTAATAACGATAAAGGATAATTTTCATTATTTATAAACACATAAAATTTTATAATCTTAATAATAGTTCTAATAAAAGCAAAAATTATAAAATAGGGTAAAATTTTTCAGACTAATAGTCTCAACTTTGTACGAACACTTCCCTACTTCGGCATATGCGCGCGCGCGCGCACACACGCTCTATCAACATAAATTTGACAAGTACAAAAATATTACATAAAATAATGCTCAGAGAATTTGTAATGAGTATAATTTATGGTATTTTTTTTAATAACATTTACCAACACTCATTATTATTTTTGGTCTTTTAATAATCTTCGACAGATTCCAACATCGCTTAAAGAATAATAACTTATTTCCGTGTCTAATGCTTTGAAGATAATATGAGCGTTAATTTTCAAATGATTTAAGTGACATTTTTCTAAATAAACTATAGAGAACAGTCGAAATCTACAGAATAATCTACATATAGAATGCTTAAAAGCAATAGTTATACAAATTATTATAAGGGGCGAGGAAAAAAAAAAAAAATAAATAAATAAATAAAATAAAATAAAATAAAATAAAATTCGTCAATAAGACTTTTTTTATATTGTATGAAAGCTGAAAGTGAAATCTTTAGATCGAATGTAATAGTAGATATAAATAGTGCAGCTCAACACTACACGCGTACGTTTCTTCGGGCTTAAGACGCATGAATTCGGTCAGCATTTAGAGAACTAATTCTGTGTTGTAGTCGCGAGTTCGTTAACCTATGTCATAATTTCTTAAACTATTCTTTAATAACTATTCTTTAAAAACAGACAAAATTGAATTCTCATAATATGTGGTCGGTAAATGTTTTGATGAATTGGTCCAGCTGATGGTAAAGACGCGTAAGTCAGGCTAAACGGACACAGTATATACTCCAATAAACGCAGATAGCCGTCTAATTAAATAATATTCTTATCTAATATATATTAATTTTCTTAGTTTTCTTAGTAATGTTATTGAATGATACTATATTGTCTAGTATATACCGTGCTTCACATAATTATAATGACAAATTATAAAATACGTGTCTTTTTCTCATTTATAACAATGATTACAATGCACTATGAACAAATGTTGCTACATAAATTTAAAAACAGAAACAAGAAAAAAAAAAAAAAAAAAAAAAAAAAAAAAAAAGTATATATATATATAAAGAAAAAAAAATTTTTTCCGAATTCAATTATTTATCATAATTTTGAAACATTCTTTTAATTTCAGCATTAATTAGCTAAACTAATATTGAATTTTTAGATAAATCATATATCGAAGATTAATATTCTGATAAAATATTAATTACGAGAGAAGTCTTATTAATATTTATAAAATTAGACGTTTTTTTTTTTTTTTTTTTTTTTTTTTTTTTTTTTTGTTCTTTTACAATAACTTTAATGTTTTTCAATTGAATGTGCATTTTTTCTTAGACGAAAAAATAAATAATTCAATGCAATTCTATAATACTTTATAATAGAAATACTCACATATTTATATAAAATATAAATTTTTACTATGACATTTATTTAATAAGTTTATAATCCGCGAAGGTTCGTAAAACATAAATTTACGATAATAAGAAACTCATTGTTTTGACTATGAGACTTCTATTTATAATTTTCTAATTTAAAGTCTTATTAATGATTTTGTATCATTGTAACTTGGCACATGCTGTTAATTATATTAAAAACAAATTATTTCAAATTTCAACTTAAATAATAATAATAATTACTATTTGATTATCATTGATAAATCATTATGAGGTGGCGGTTTACTTGAAGCGATATAATGTTAATATATGCTAGGGTGTCTTCTCTAATATAACAATACGTAATATTCTATCTGAATAGAAATGATTTAAATCAATGTATTTGCTTCATATATTTGCATGAGATTGCTGTACGTAAATTGTAAAAGTGAATCGTAAGTGTATCGTTATTATATACTTGTAAAGGATGAAAATTAAACTAATCAAAATGATTAAAATCATGCCCGAGTCCGATTAAGTATTGAGTAATGTAATATTTCATTTTTTGTATTCTATGCTTAATAATGAATTGTACCAAGTTTTTATAATAAAATTCTTATTAATATATCAACTATTCATTTAGATTTCAAATTAATTTGAATTTTTCAAATTTTTTATTTTACGTTAGTTAATAATAAGTCGTCGATACACGTTTCTCAAAATTAAATAGTTTTCATTATTTATTGTTATTTATTATTATTATTATTATTATTATTATTATTATTATTATTATTATTTTAATATTTTAATTTATGAGTTGGTTACTTAAACAGAATGTATTTTAATTATTATGCTGTAAAAAAGGGTTATTCAAACAATTGAAAGTAAATAAATTCATTTTATTTTGCTTTGCGGCCAATTTTAAATTTAAATTAAGAGAAATGAAGATGATGAAGAAAAGTTATAGGAATTTACATATCTGGGGCACTAATGAAGTGAAAATGATGCTGACAGTGTTTCAACAAATTTATAAATTTATGATAAGAAGTCGGCACTGTTATCCTTGCAAACTTATCCGATAAACATCTATATCTAACATTAAAGATTTGAATTGCATTTTCTTATTCTTTATGATTTAGCAATAAAATAATTTAATTTATTATTATTATAAATATAAATATATTATAAAATATATTATAGACAAATAAATATATAAATGTTAAATCAATTTTATCTATTGATAATTAATTTATAATTTTAATTAAAACGTACTCATAAGTTAATAAAAATAAATAGATTATCGAACTTAAAACTAAAATCATATCGAACACATTTAATTGTACGAAAGTATTAGCGAGATATATAAGCATCAAATGTATTATGCTTATCTATTCATTATAATTTTCATTTTTTTTTCTTTTCTTTTTTTTTTTTTTTTTTTTTTTTTTTTTCTTCGCGTGTACTGTTTATAGCTCATTATTGCATAAGAAAAAACTTTAAAAACTTGAAAAAATGTAAAAAGCCGAACATAAAACCAATCGATTATCGAGCGTTTAACGAAAATATAATAAAATGTAATGATTCAATTACAGAATCTTTATGCGAGAGTTATTTCTTTGAAACAACGTTTTTATCGCCTTTACTATTCTTGTCTCTATTATCAGCTGTTATCGTGTCTGTACATTACTTTGCAGCGTGCCAGATACATATGTGTGCTCCGTGGTAATACAGCAAAAGACTTCTTTCATCTCATTTAAATGATTTTTGTTTTCGAAAATTGAGAAGTAAAAACTTTAATCTCCTACGTATGATTAATCTTTCAGTTTGTTTAACTATATACTATAACGATTATTATGTATGTTAATATCTACCTATATGAATGAGTGAATGAATTACAATTTTTTTCCGTTTATTGAAATTAACAAAACATCATAGAATCTTATAATTTGATATTGTTGTTGTTAAGAATTGAGACGCGCGCATAGTTAAGCAATTCATAAAAGCATAAAAATGTTGTTAGCTTAACGAAATTCAAAATTCTTTATGAATTTAGTGTGAAAATATAATTTGATATCGAATGAATGTTAAAATGTATTAGAAGAATTGAACATTATAAGGCATCGATATTTCGAAAAACACTACATACACTGCAAATATTTTAGAGAAAAAATAAAAATATATATATATATATATATATATATATATATATATATATATATATGTATGTGTGTGTGTGTGTGTGTACATATGTGTGTACATATGTGTGCGTGTGCGCGCGCGCGCTTACATCCACATGAAATCAACATTATTCCGTCACAAATATAATAAATCGCTATTAAAAATCAGATTTGTAATGCTCGTGTAGCCATATGTGGGATACAGGCTTCAATAATTTGACAATATTCGAATATTTCGTTTATTAATTAGATGTGACCGGAAATGAAATGCCGCATCAAGGCGCCTGCATATGCAAAAGTGACTTCCCTTTAAAGCGTCACCGCGTGCTACGGATTTCCATAATAACGGCCACTTTTATACGAATCGACTATAAATGATCTCTCACGCATTCCCACTTACCTTGCCACTATTTATTCGAGCGTTCTTGAATTAAGAAGTTTTAGTCGGCATTATTTACACATTAATTCAGACGATACAATGGGTAAACATTTCACGTTTGCTTCTCCCTTTCTTATGTTTGTCAAGTAGTCGGGTAAACCGATCTCGGCACTAATCTTTTAGTTTACTCGCTACCGTTTATCCAGATAAACATCGTTATTTTTCCGGATTTCATTAATGACGGAGTAACATAGTCATCTCGTCCGATAATCACTGATATTGCAAATCAAAGAAATGAAATATTAACGGAAGTTCGTAAAATAATATCATCGGCTAAATGTGCCGATGGCATTTGGAGTGGCACATGTCATTTATTGAAATTAATGTTCGCTTCTCACTACTGTCGATTCTCATAATGACTTACTTAAAGTTAAGCGGAGTGCATCGACACGAGCCGTCCGGTCGCTCGGCGCGCATTTTAAAATCACCAGCACTCCTTGTGACCCATATTTTCGCCGGGGATGCTAGAGGCGATGAGCACAGTGGGTGAGTACACACGAGTCGTGGATGCCGGGCCATAAGTTTTGCTACAGTCGATCGAACAACCTCGCAGCGCCGAATCTCGCGGCCAACTAACTGATTAGGTAGCGCTTGGAATCGTTTGACGATGACGGAGCGACGTGATCGGGGGCGGAGGGGGCGGAGGAGGAGGGGGGCGCTGATATCGGCCCAATAGTCGGTTCGAGACGGGCATGCGCCCGGCGTTTATCGATGCTCACTACGGGAGGAGGTTTGTTCTTTTTTCGACGACTTAGCGATTCGAGGAGGTTACTTATTGTTGAAGAGGGAAGGAACGAGGGCAAATTTAAAGAAATTCCGTCGAGAGTATTAAGCCGAGGATTGGGCCCAAGTAGATATATTTTTTGTAATTGGGAATTTTTAAATTTAATAGTGCAAGAAGACGTTAAATGAACCACTGACTTTGAGTCATTTGCGTGAGATATGCGGGTTTTTTTTTTTTTTTTTTTTTTTTTTAACGCGATTTATACGTGAAATTGCGTGTACCTCGCGCGTTAAGCGATTTGGGCGTATTGGAAGTAAGTGATCTTAATTAACTAATAAAATGCATTAAAATGTAAGAATAAAATAAAATGAATTAAAATTTGAGTAAAATATAGGCGTAAGATTAGGTTGAACATAAAGCTATTATTTTGAAATAACTAATAATTTTATATGCATATAATTGGAAAATTGACTTGACAAATCATTATTTTTATCCTTCGTTGTCATTTTTCTATCGTTTTCGACGATTTTTCTCTCTCTCTTCTTTTTTTTTACTTTTTGCTTGAATTTTAAACTTTCAAATTTTCTTTGAAAAGAATATCAGGAATAGCTTTTAATTCTGCTAATTGAAACATTTACATTCAATTTATAATTAATTGTTAAATGTCTGTAAATATCTTCGTATTGTGAAGCTTTTTTAATTTTAATTTTCACGAATTTAACAATCCTTTCGGTATTATAATTTATTATTATTATTATTTTATTTATTAATATTTTGTTTCTTCTTTTTTTCTTTTTTTGATTCTTTTAATAATAGTATAATAGTATAAATTTACTAAATAGCAAATATGATATTATAATGAAATTAGTAGTGTATGAAATTCAAGGACTTTTCACATATACACATATTATATAATATCAGTTTTTATACTTAAGTTTCAATATTATACCTCTTGTGTTTAGCTGAAAATCATGCAAAATATTTATGCAACTCTAGCAGTTCGAAATGATAATTGTAGTGGTAATTATATATTATATATTTCAAGTAATTGGCAATTATTGCAATAATTGATAAATTATTGATCGAGCAGTACTTTGAGCAATACAATTTTATAGGATTTAAATTTTAAAATCTTTTACTGAAACTTGCTACTGACAATATATAAATCGATTGATAATAATTCCATAAACTGCTTTTGTAATACGACGCTGTTTAAATAATTATGCAAATCACGTATCCGATTTTATCTTAAATGATAGTTCAAATGATAGTTTGCAAGGTGAAAAATGTATCGGTGTTGATTCGGATGTGATAGTATATATAAAGTACGCTTAATTAATCAATTTCGTAAAAAAAAAAACATATTAAAAAAGCGAAAATAAAATATTTTTTTGTATTAAGAAAACGAAAGTAAAACTCATGTTCATGTATTTATAATTTTTTATTTGTTAAAATCATAAATATTAATAAAAGTTTAAGTTGCATTTTTTTTTTTTTTTTTTTTTTTTTTTTTTTTTTTTGATACATATTTAAAATTTTAGAAATAATTTTTCTTATTACGTTATCACAGTGCATTGTACAACTAATTAATGTTAAATTAACCTGGATTATTTACAGATTCATTATATAGCAGTTAGATGGTTAGAATTGTTATTCAAATAAAATGCTTGTAAACTTTCGAATTCCTATGTAAGAATTAAAATACAATTAATAGATTTTCGTACATAATATTAGTTTTGGAAAAGTAAGTCAATGTATATTATGAATAAATATATTATTGCTAGTAAATAGCCAGTATATTGACACTAGATATAATTTCATAAGAAATATTAATTTAAAAGAAACGTCGTTTGCAGAGTTGAGTATATTTTTGATAAAAATAAATCGAGCCTGGGTGGG